AATAAAGAAGACAAGTCATTGAAAGCATTGAATTTATTTAATCAAATGAAAATTGATGGTTTAGAAAGAAACTCGATTATTTATCTTATTATTATAAAATCTTTATCAAAACTAGGTGATTATTCGATATGTGAATCAATTGTTAAAGATATTCCAGATGTTCTACTTAATAATGAAATCGAAAATGCATTAATCGATATGTGGGTAGGTCGAAAGAAATTTTCTTTTCAACTTTTCTATTGGCAAACAAAACTCGATTTAGGGAAAATGTGGATGTACAGATAAAGCAAAAGAAGTTTTCGAAAAAAATCCTAAACCAGATCAAGTTGCATATACAACAATGAGTTTGTTTTATCTTTTGTTTTTGGAAAAAATATATGTTTTGATAATTGATTAATTATTAGTTAATAGTTATGGTTTAAATGGAATGGGTGTTCAAGCACTCGAACTTTATCGTAAAATGCCTGAAGAATTCATCAATGAAGTGACATATATTTGTGTCTTAAATGCATGTTCACATTCTGGACTTATTGAAGAAGCTCGTTCAATCTTCAAAAATATTCCAACAAAAACAGAGAGAATTTATAGCACAATGGTATTTGAAAAGATTCTTTAGACAAAGCTAAATAGATTTATTAATTTAGATTGATTGTCTTAGTCGTGGATCGTATTTTGAAGAAGCAGAAGAATTGATTGATGAATATGAACGTTTCAATTTACCGGTGTTAACTATGTACAGTTAGTATTTTTTGAAATATTTTCGACAGTTTTATTATATTAAATATATATATAAGTACATTTTAACATAGTTTTCGTATTTTTATTTTAGTGGCGTTATTATCAGGTGCAAGAAATGCGAACAATAGTGAATTATCACAAAATATTTATGATCATATGAAGAAAAGTTTTCCTGATATAAAAAATTCACTTACATCAGCTGCTGTTCTTCTTGCTAACGTTTATACATCATCAGGTGATATTGATGCAGCATCAAATATGAGAAACGAATTAAATCGATCAGGTGCTAAGAAAAAAATCGGTCTCTCATGGACTGTACTCAATGGACATACGTTCGTAAGTTTACGACTATAATATTAATGTTGTATTTAATATATATATATAAAATGATTTTTACAGGAGTTTCGAGCACATGATCAATCACATCCTCGATCAACTGAAATTTATGCTGAAATAAAAAATATTTCCAAACAACTTATTCAACATGGGCATCAATATGATTCAAGTTGGATTACACGTCCATTAAATGATGATGAAACTATCGAATCAGTTCTTTGTGGACATAGTGAAAGACTTGCAATCGCTTGGAACTTTGTTCAAAATCCAAATGCAACACAAATTCAAGTGACAAACAATCTTCGTGTTTGTGGTGATTGTCGTATGTGTTATAATAATTTCATTATTTTCTTATTCTTCATTTTATTTTTTCATAGATCGTGCTATTAAACTAATAGCTGCTATTCGTCAATGTGAAATAATTGTGCGTGATGCAAATCGTATACATCACTTCTCAACGAATGGACAATGTTCATGTAATGATTATTTCTAAAAAAAATATAGTTAATTGATAAAGATTCATGAGAAATGCACTTTAAAATTTCAAAATATCTTGACACTCTTTTTTTCATTCATGGGCGAAAAATCTTTAATAAATATAATAGAGAGATTGATAGCTTAAATTTCATAATTAATTTATTTTAATTCTAAGTCTACGTTTCGTCGAATAAATCGACATTATCAAGATAAAATCATAATCATTTCAATCATCATATACACCCAAAAAAAGATATATACACAGTCTTGACTTCGAGGATGATTTTTATCCTGACTATGTTTCGCAATCCCAGGTGCGAACTGGGGTGATCATAGTTACATTCGTATTGCACGTGGTAAGAATATGTGTGCCATTGCCACTGTAGTCATACAAGTGGCAAGTACCGAGACGACGACTACTACACATTATACGAGTAGCACTATACAATTATCTACGAGTAGTGCTACACAACCATCTACGGGTACGAGTAGTGCTACACAATTATATACGATTAGCTCAATCCATCTCATGGTCATATTCCTGATGGTGACGATTGCTCAAACTATTCTTATCTATAACTAATTCACAGATTAAACTATAAGAACAAACGTCCACCCTTTCTTTCTTAAACATCTACAAAAAATGATTTTCTTCATCGATAACTTTTCAGTACATTTCAACTATCTAGCTGAAGAAAAGTGTTATGTGAGAAAGAAAACTAAATAAACATTCGCCGTCATGGTACAAGTGTATCTAACTCAGTTTTTCGCCAGAAGGCGACGCACTTACACCCAGTTCAAGAAGCCTCTAAACGGCTCCATATTTTTTGAATTTCTGGATTTATAAATCAGAAAAAATCAGAAACAGGTTGCAATTTCAGAATTTTTTCTGAGTATTCAGAAGATCTAGTCGCCCTGTGTCAGTGCCACTGTGACACTAACATCATGTTTATTTCGTCGTCAACAAGATAAACTACAATAAAAGACATGCAATAATATAAAAAAAGTGAAGATATGTTATTCATTTCTTGCAAATGTGTCAACAACTCCCATTCTTACAATCAAACAAGATTTTTCTACGTTATAAACATGGTTGAAAAGAATGTCAACATTTATAATGAACGGATGAAAACATTATATACCACTTTTCTTTTAATTTCATGACAAAAACATTCTATTCTCTTGGTATTCTGACCATAGTAATTCGGCTCTTGTCCTACATTAGACGTCATCAGTTCATTAACTTTCACATCGATCGTCTTAAAAAAATTTTAATTGAATTTTATATATCATTTTGTGTCTTATCCTTAATTGAAGTGAATAAATATTCTGCTAGTACGATGATGAATTCTTTGTTGATATATTTCTTTACATTTGCGATACTGACAACTATTTTTTGTCATGATGATGTTAACAGTGATAATATTCTTGATATTACATATTCTTATCTATCACATTTCTAACACATTCATTTTCACATTAAGTTATAAAAAATGTTAGATACACGTTTTATTTTCAAGTCTATTTTCTTCGTCATACTATTTGGTATAATTGTTGCTGATTTATCAAATGAATGGAATGAATTTAAGCAGAAATATAATAAACAATATAAAACAATTGATGAAGAAATTGAACGAAAACAAATATTTATTGAAAATCTTAACGAAATTCATTCTTTTCAACAAAATAATCCGCATGCAACTTATACATTAGCAATTAATCATTTATCTGATCGACGTATTCAAGTAAATTTTAGTTGTTAATATCTGTCAATAATGCAGAATTCATTCTTTTACACAGGAACTTGTATCTTCACGAGGAAATACACTCAAATCTTATACATCATCATCATTTAAAATTTCTAGAGAAGTAAAAAATTTACCTGAATTCCTTGATTGGCGTGATAAAGGTGTAATCACGGAAGTATATCATGGTGAAGTTGGAGAAATTGTGACTGCTGTTGTTAGTACTGGTATATATCAATAAAGAAAAATACTAACATAATCATATTTTTTTGTATAGAACTTGTTGAAAGTCTCCATGCTATTAAAACTGGTGAACTTATTGCAGGTAGTATACCACAAGTATACGATTGTTGTCGACAACCCATCGATGCTTTTGATTGTATAAAGAATATGAGTGGTATTTGTCGAAAAGAAGATTATCCAAAACCACTTGGTCGATGTCAATTAGATATATGTAAACCATTTGCTAGTGTATGTTTATATTGGGATTTGATATTTTTCAAGAAAATTTCGACTTATTTTTTGTAAATTATAGTTTGATACAATTAAACGAATGACAAAACCTGATGAAAATGAAATGTTAGAATGGATTCAAGATTCTACTTTATGGGCAGAAATGAGTGTTGCTGGAAAAGGTTTTAATACATATACTGGAGGTATTGAAATTTTTTCTATTATAAAATGAGTATTTTGTTTTCTCGTTTTCGAGGTATTTATGATGAACCATCATGTTCTAACCATTCTATAGATGATGTCGTAAGGACTAAGAAATATTATTAGATTTTATATTTATTAAATATAGAATTAATCTTCATAGGTACAAATTATTGGATATGGTAGTGAAGGAGGAAAACCTTATTGGTTATGCAAACTTCATTGGGGTAAGTATCGATGAAGAATATATTTTATTATTTTTTCTTGAAAATATAGGTACCGGTTGGGGTGAAAAAGGTTATTTTCGGATTGCACGTGGTAAAAATATGTGTAAAATTGCTGATGTTATTATACAAGTGGCAAATACCGAGCCGAGTAGTACTACACAAGTATCTACGAGTACGAGTGGTGCTACACATTTATATACGATTAGCTCAATCCATCTCATGGTCATATTCGTGATGGTGACAATTGCTCAAACTATTCTTATCTATAACTAACTCACAGACTAAGCTACAAGAACACATGTCTACAATTGTTTTTTTTGAAATATTTACAAAAAAGATTTTCTTTATCGATCACTTTTCAATACATTTTAACTATTCAGCTAAAAAAAAGCGTTAAGTGACAAAAAGAAACCTAAATAAACTTTGCCATCTTGAGGGTGTGGGTGTGCAGTTATGCCTAACGAAAGATACGAGAAGATAGACAACAACATCCACACCCTCAAAGTTGTTTTTTCGTAATTAATAAACTTTAGCAGTTAAAACTTTTAATCACACATAACAGAGTTGCTCTTACGGTGTAAAATGAGCTTATTCAATGATTTACTTCAATTCAATCCAGTAAAATATAATTTGGTAGGCAAAGAGGTAAAAGAAAAGATAAGGAAAAAGACTGTTGATTGCAGATATGAGTCAAAACGAAGCTATTGTTGTGTCAGCATTATATAATTTCACTTCGTCATTTATCATTGTGCATTTTCTTTTCTCTCACTTGAAATATCATTATCTCTTGATTCACATACATATTCATTTGGAAAATTTAAAAATGAAGGTAAGTTGTTGTCTGCTGTTAACATTACAATAAGTAAAATATGATCATATCATAGCTTGTTGTTCTATTGGTTCTATTTGGTGCAGCTGTGAGTGATTTATCATTAGAATGGGATAAATTCAAACGTGACTACAACAAAAATTATGCATCGGCTGCCGAAGAAATGGAACGTAAAGAAATATTTATTGAAAATATTAATCGAATGCGTGCTTATCAGCAAACTTATCCCGATGCATCATTCACAATGTCAATCAATTATTTAGCCGATCGACGAATTCAGGTTAATTGCCACTTTCAGAAATAACAGATGAATGACTATAAGTAATTATATGATAGGAACTTGTATCAAGACCAAAGATTCATATTGAATCTCGACCAACAATCCGTCAAAGTTCTGTGAAAACAAAGAACTTACCTGAATCGCTTGACTGGCGTGATAAAGGTGTAATCGGACCCGTAAGTGAACTTGCTGGCGAAATCGTGACTGCCGTTGTCAGCACTGGTAAGTATCATGTAGAGACTAAGGAATTAATAATATTCTTTCACAACTATCCAATAGAACTTGTCGAGAGTCTTCATGCTATTCATACCAAGAATTTCATTGAAGGCAGCATCCAACGAGTATTCGACTGTTGCCCACAACCAGCTGATACTTTTGTTTGTATACAGAATATAAGTGGTATTTGCCGCAAAAATGACTATCCAGAAGCTCTCGGAACATGCGAACCAGACAAATGCACACCATTTACAACGGTATGTATAGGCGTATGAAGGAAGAAAGAAAGTTCAATCTTTATTTTTTGAATTTTCTTGTTCACAATTCAAACGTAAGCATGATTTTGTGTTTATGTGAAATATAGTTCAACAAAATCAACAGACTAACACCGGGAGACGAAGATACAATGTTGATTTGGATTCAAGACTCAACACTCTGGGCTGAAATAGATGCTAGTAGAGAGAGCTTTAGAACATATACCAGCGGTATGTTTATTTACATGATACACTCATTGATACCCATCTATTTCTTTCTTCAGGTGTCTATGAGGATCCCACATGTTCGCAAACACAAATTGATCAAGCGGTAAAAATAAACATATATTAATTTTTTGCATTTTAAAAACCTCGACTTTGTAGGTACAAATTGTTGGGTATGGTATCGAAGGTGGTAAACCCTACTGGTTGTGCAAAAATAACTGGGGTAAGTGTTGACTTCGACAATGAGTTTTATCTTAACTGTTTTTCATAATCTTAGGTGCGGGCTGGGGCGATCAAGGCTACATTCGCATTGCACGTGGTAAGAATATGTGTGCTATTGCCACGGTAGTCATACAAGTGGCAATTACCGAGCCGAGTAGTACTACACAAGTATCTACGAGTACGAGTAGTGCTACACAATTATATACGATTAGCTCAATCCATCTCATGATCATATTCGTGATGGTGACAATTGCTCAAACTATTCTTATCTATAACTAATTCACAGATTAAACTATAAGAACAAACGTTTACCCTTTTTTTTGATATATCTACAAAAAAATGATTTTTTTCATCGATCACTTTTCAATACATTTCAACTATTCAGCTAAAGAAAAGTGTTATGTGAGAAAGAAAACTAAATAAACATTCGCCATCATCGTACAAGTGGTTCTAACTCAGTTTCTCGCCAGGAGGCGATGCACTTACACCCAGTTCAGGAAGTCTCTGAGCAGCTCCGTATTTTTCTGAAGTTTTTGATTGCCGAACCAGAAATAAAGACAACGGAGAAAAAGAAAAATATATCAGCTTCGAAAAATCACGTGGCAACTAATACATTATGTTGCTTCAAGAAAAGTTGGTATATATATATATACGTTCGACAGCCAGTCTAACAGTTACAGTGACAAATTCCAAAGAGAATATTAAAAAAAAAGAAAGCAAATTTTTTCAATTCATCGTTTAAGGCAATATGTTCAAAGAATTGTGATAAAACTTGATCACAGAAAGATACAGTATTATTTCTAAATATATCAGTTTTTGAAGAATTTTTTCTTCTATCATATTCTCTACAAAATATTTGTTTTGCACTACCTATTTTTACCTAAACGAAGGTGGACGGGTCTGACTTCGGACATTTTCACGAAAAGTATTCCCGTCATTCGGAATGATGATGATCAATATTGCTGATTTCGATCGAGAACTTATTGTGAACTAAGGACTACATATATTGGCGAAGAAATAATAATGTTTATCACTTTGTTTCTGATTCGTAAATCAAAAAATACAAAAAAATACGGAGCTGTTCGGAGACTTTTCGGGCTGTGTAATTGGAAATAATTTTTGTTCTTGATCCCCCTTAAGTATTTGATAACAATGATAGAACAAAAAGAATGCATCGTTGTATTACTCAGTAACTCGATCCTACGTGCTCGGCTCTCTCGCGCGCGTGTGCATACCCTATCATAATTATCAATACTATAAAAGCTAATAATATTCTAAGTCATCATCAATATTTCACATTTTCTTACTTATGATGTCATCTACTATGTTATTCATTGCTTTGTTGGTGATTACAGTTGCTCGTGCAGCACCTGTGCATGATGAAACATGCGATGTACAAGCATATCGTCAAAGCCACTGTGCGGCTAGTGTCTTTGTCCAACATGGTTGTACATCAGCCACTGTCGATTTAATCCATACTGATTTTCTTCAGTCATGCAGTTCAGTCAGATTGAACTGGGCTTATGCAGCAAACAATCTGACATTGATCATCGGAAGACAGGAACATCAAGCATTCACGGTTACTATCAACAACGATTAACTGATTGAGACTGTCTCACACATCTATCGCATTATTGGCAATCAAGAGACAGAAGTGACAACAAAAGATCATAAATTGGTTCAAAAATCCGATTCAAATGGTCAAGTTAAACTTAAATTAGAAGTCCCACCAGAATTGATGCCTTATGTAGTTTTTGTTAACTATGATATCGATTAAACAGTGGAATCAGACAGTTTCACTGATATTTTATGAATAAAATGTGAGGTAAAAGTGAATCGAATTCTGACCTTACCATGGAAGACATGGGCATTTGTCAAAAAAGGGGTGGGTGTGGGTGTTATTATTATCTTATATCCAGGCCCAGACCCACACTAACACCCTCAAGGACTGCCTAATCACCTCATAATAGCAATGGAGAAGAAAGAACAAACTAATTATCTCCCGTCGACAAAATGCTTTTCGGCGAAAAGTAGTAGTATTGAATTTGAAGAGTGACGGAGACTGTTGACATGATATCGTTCTCGTTACATCATAGTGCTTTTTTAATCTCTTTCTCTTTCCAGAACATTCTCCATTCCTTTCTTATCTTTCTTATGACTAATTATTCATACTTTCGTACTTCCAACATACTGTTACCTCTATTATCCGCTGGGTTTTTCTCAGCAAATATCGTACGATATCCTTTGTATATATACATCGCATTTTAACAAGAATATATTTTATAATTTTAATCGTGATTTGCACGTGTCATCAGAGAGTCAAGTAGCATTCATTTTACAAAAGGGATTGAATAATTACGAGATACAAATGGAAATAACAAAAGATGAAACGACAGTGATAAATGTGAGTATACTTATTAATTGGTTGTGTATAAAGAGTATAATTTATAAAATAATGTATTATAGTCTGATCATTCTTATCTCTACTATGATCCGAATTCAATTTCGAATTTTAATCGATTTCGTGTGAATCATACACATTTTGACTTGAATGTCGATTTTGATCGTCATCTACTTCATGGTCATGTTCAATTCGATATTGTCCGTCTGGATCAAAAACAATGTGAGTATTCATCAACGATAAAAAATTCTGAAAACAATGAAATACCTCATAATCTTGATGGAAAACTTGTTTTTGATGCTCATCAATTAAATGTAGAAAAAGTCATGTATGAAACAACATTACTTCCATTTGAAATCAATCCTGAACATAATTCATTAACTATTGATATAGAACAAATTCCAAAAGAAGCTATTTCTATTTCAATTCTTATTTATTATTCAACATCGCCTGATCAATCAAAAGCGTTACAATGGATGACCAAAGAACAAACTGCTGATCGACAGTACCCATTCATGTATAGTCAATGTCAAGCAATTCATGCACGATCAATGTATCCTTGTCAAGATACACCTGGTGTGAAAAGTACATATACAGCTAAAATTATATGTCCTAAACCATTAATACCGGTAATATCTATGCATTATACCATTCTTTTTACTAATAATGATAAATTTAGTTAATGAGTGCAATTCAAACCAAACATGATGTAGATACAAATACATTTTATTTTGAACAAACAGTGGCTGTTCCATCTTATTTGATGGCAGTTGCTGTTGGTCATTTGGTTTCGTATGATATAAGTGATCGTGTACGAGTATGGAGTGAACCAAGTCGTCGTGAACGATGTAAATATGAATTTGAAGAAACTGAACGTGCTTTATCGGCTGCTGAACAACTTCTTGGTAAATATCAATGGAAACGATACGATATTCTTGTTCTGCCGCCATCATTTCCTTGTAAGTTGAGTTAAGTAGTTTTTTACAAACAAAATTCTCGCTTTATTTATAGATACTGGTATGGAGAATCCATGCATGAATTTTATTTCACCAGCAACATTAGTCGGTGATCGATCATTGACATGGGTGATTGTACATGAATTAACTCATTCATGGACCGGTATGATACAAACATTTGAATTATATATCTTTCATTGTTTTTTGTAGGTAATCTGGTGACAAATGAAAATTGGGAACATTTTTGGTTAAATGAAGGTTTTACAACATTTATTGAAGCAAAATTACTCGAAATTTTAGCTAAAGATAATGGTGAAGCTCGACGTTTTCATTCTGCTCAAGGATGGGAAGAATTAGAATCAACTATTATCGAATTTGGCTCAACTAATCCATATACATGTCTAGTTTATCGTCTGAAAAATGTTGATCCTGATGATGCTTATAATTCGAGTAAATTTAACCTATAGCCTTCTTTAATATTTTTTCTACCTAAAACTTTTTAGCACAATATCATAAGGGTGCGGCACTTCTCTGGTTTCTAGAACATGATATTGTTTGTTCAGAAGTTGAATTTGATCAATTTCTTCGTTCATATGTTCAAAAATTTAGTCATCGAGTTCTCAATACAGATGATTTTATTCAATATTTTGAATCTTATTTTCCACAGGCAAAAAAAGTCGACTGGAATTTATGGTTAAACACACCTGGAATGCCTCCAATTACTATTGATTTTTCAACTGAACTTGAACGACAATGCCGTCAATTAGCTAATCAACCTTCATTAATTTCTGATGCTCAAATGAAATTACTCAATGCTAATCAAATTGTTTATCTGTTTAATCTTCTTCTCAATCAAAAACCATCAACAATCACGTATGATATAATTAAACAAATTGATAAAAATTGTCAAATGAATCAATATTCTAATGGTGATATATGTTATCAATGGTATCAATTATGTATTCGAATGAAATATATAGAAGTATTAGAAGATATTTTCAAATTTCTTGGAGAAAATGGTGAAATGAAATTTTTGAAACCATTGTATACGGAATTTAAATTATCATGGCCGGAAATGATGCCAAAAGTGCATGAATTCTTTGAAGAACACAAAAAATATATTCATCCACTTCTAGTACAACAAATCGAACAACGCATCGGAAAATAAACTGATTAACTTTTTTTTAAATTAATCTAGATAAAAATATTTTATCAGTAATAAACTTTTATAAATATATATATGAAATGCTTTATTTGAATGGATTACCTTGTAGACTCTGAAGGTGTGGGACGGTCTTCTATACAAAATGTTAACCGTTCGTATTTATATATATTAAATGAATCATTATGTATCAGTAGTTGTCGAAGCTGATGTAATATAATATTTCATGTGTCACTGTAATTGCACAATATCGAATATGTTATTATTCAAACAGAAAGAAAGAAAAAATATTTGAGATAAACTGATAGACAGAAAAATAAAAGTAAAAAGGTAAACTTAAATATGTTTCACCGTTATGCAATTACAGAAACACATGAAATATTATATTGCATCAGCCTCAGCAATTACTTATATATTACGGGTTTTTTTTAAACAGATAATCCTTAAGAATGTCTACTTTTTCAATCCTTACACGTCAATGCCTTGAATTAAGCGAAATTTGTCCAAAATGTAAATGGAATTGTGATCATTACCAGTCAAATGGATTTTGTCGTTGTAGCCCATACGGTAAACGAGATTGTGATATAAGTCGAGAACAATGTTGGGCAGATATCGTAATCCATATTGATCTTCCTTCAAATCCTCGACTTTCTGAAGTTAACATAATTATCGATGGTGATAATTTTTCACAACGAATTATAGTTGTATTAATTGATTATTTCATAAAGCAAGGATGTAAAACAGTTGCGATGGTTATTTCACCATCGAAATATATTGGAATTATTAGTGGAAGTTATGGTGATCAGGTCAAATCGGAGTTTATTCGTCTTGTCGAAGATGGACATGTACTAGTTATTTCGGCAGCTAATTCAATGTATTATGATCATACAGGTGGTTGTGAAGATGCGGTTGTTTTACACATTGGGATGTATCATCGAGCCATAGTACTCTCAAATGACACATTCAAACCGAAAATTGGTGAAGAACATGAATTCATTCCAAATGCCAGTCTTCATATAACTGAAACCAAAATTTCTGATTATGAAATCTCGCTAACATTCACCAATCCGTTTAATCTCACTCAAGCAGGTCCTGATGTTTTAAACTATGTAATAGACAATGTTCTTGCACAAAACACACTGACTGATCCTATATGTACAAGTTCATGTATAGAAGCCCACATTCCAGAAATTCTAAAACGCCATCGAATTTATAATCTGAATAAACATCTCGATCGATGTGATCGTGTTGTTTATGAGCATTATTCAAAATTAGAAAAGTATAGTCAAAAATTAAATACGTTTACGAACCAAATAGACAAAGCACCGATTAATGACATGGAACTGATTGAAACATTAAACGAGAGAAAGCAACAAGTGATTGAAAATACAGAAGAATATAAAGACAAAATTGCATCATTATTAGAACAAAATGAAAAATTTAGAGAAGAAATTATTCAACAATTAACTATATCAGGTCAGTTAAAACTTTTTGGAGAAAACATTTGAGAAAAATTTTAAATCGGTGAAGTCCACAAAAAAGGCAAACGTTTCAATGAGCTTTTCCTATAGAAATTTTTTCCATACTTCAATAGTCTAATAGCCGGCCCTCCGATAACTTTTACCTATACTGATGATTCTTTAGTGTAGTTGAGTAGAAATTGAAAGTTTTAGAGGAGAACAATTTTGCCATTTTAAAAATTAATTTTCTCTGAAAGGAAGTAAAATATTTGGAAGAGCACTTCATATTCGTGTTGCTGGCAGTGAGACTAATGCAAATCGATAGAAATTTTGACTTCGTCTCTTACTAATTGAAACTATAATTATTTATCTGTTTTGTATCAGCAAAATGAATTTATCAAAATACTTTAACTTAAAAAAATGATTTTTTTTTTAGGTAACATTGATCATTTTAAACCCGTATCGATTCGCTGCGGCCTTCCATATTATATTTTTGGTTCCGAAAACAGCCTCGATAATGATATTCTAGTCCTTCTGAAGGATTATCAAAAACCGGCTACATATGTTGAATGCCAAAAACTGATGAACAAGTTTACTTACGAATTTCAAGATTTACATTGTTTCGAAAGCGACAAACCTATCAATATAAATCTTGCAGTTCTAACAGATGGTATAATTACATGGGTGTTAAAAGGCAATCCTGATGAAACCAATAACGGTATCCTTCGTACATATCATTTACATAAACAATACCATTCACTCGAAATTCAGCGACTCGTTCCTCGTGATATTGAAAAGAAAATTATTCGTGCAACACGTTCTATTCTGTCTCAGCTAACAAAATCTGAACGACGACATAATATTAAAAACGCATTGAAAGCAAATCAACTTTATATTCGTCTCGATGCACTTAAGCCAATTTGTTTTCAAGAACTCAATTTTAAACAATCCGAAAAAGATTTGACTGAAATAGTAAAATTGATTGCGTTTCAGCTTGGTCAGACAATGGCTTTGGTAAAAGAAAACAGAGAATTGTACACAAAAATACAAGTAGCGGAATATGATCCGAGATTGAAGCAGTATCTAATGAGAGAATCGGGATGTAATTTGGAAATATTGACGCAAGTTAAAAATGAATATGTTACACTGATTGAACATATGTTTGTTCAACAACCAGAATTAAGAACGAAAGCGGAAGTACTAGTTACTGACTAAACACAGTGCTTCTGCGTCTTGGACTGACCATCGCACACATCTTCGGAAATTTGCAATAGTAGAATATATTTCAAAATTTCCGTATATTTTCTGTGTTTTATTCCATATGTTTATTATTTAATAAAAAAAAACACTAGTACAAAATGAGTCTTCAGGAATATGTGATTAAGTATATTCCCTATCGCTCGATGGTAGACTATTTGCATATAACTGTCTTCACTCTCTCATACACACACCATCAATTGGTTACCAACTGATTGATTTTGCGCAATGCTTCTAATGCACCAAGAGGCAACGAAATATTATCTTCATGCTGATCAATATTTGCTTGATATGAATTAATTCGAATATGTGTTGCACGACCTCCACGTATTCGATGTTCTGCTACAATACGTGCTGCTTCTGTTCGTACTTTGTTCATCACAGTACCACATCCAATTTCTAGAACTGTCAGTGCTTGTTCAGCTGACAATTCACAAAAGAATGTCTCGTGACGCATACGTGCAATCTCAACATGTGGTGCATTCCAATGATCGTCAACCGCCAATTGGGTACACACACGTGCTAGACCACCACATTGTATACATCGTGGCGGTGGTTCAAGTAGGAGCATTGTGTTCAAGTCAACTGATGGCATATTTTCAATGTCAAGTGGCCATGGATTTACACCACAGCCATGCATACACTGTGCATCATACATTGATCCATGCATCTCAAATATACTGTCGAGTGAAAAACCTGTACGTACAAAATGGTGATCCAAATTTGTTGTTATAACACGTACATTGCGTTTATTACATTTATTCCAAGTATGTAGCATATGATACCCAACATGTGGCATTGTATTTATGTATTCACGCTGTCTCGTAGTCCAGTGTCCCCAAGCTAATGCGGGATTGCGCTCGAACAATGCATGGTTGGATAAGTCATATAGACTTAGTCCGATTTCTGCTAGACGTGGATGTGCAATATGAATGCCACCGTAGTAATCTGGAATGCCAGCATCAACACCCATCCCAGCACCCGCTGCTATCAGTAGTACGTCGGCATTGCGCACATATTGAGCTGCACATGATATAGCCTTTTCAATAGCTTGTTGTTGATCCACAGTGATCACCATTATCGACAGGTTACTAATGAATCTATAATTGAACACAGTAGATTTTGATACTATTTACAAGACGAATTATATTCCACTGCTCCTACAATCGTTTGGTGCAGAAATGCAGAATTCTCAAAGCTCTTTCGAACGGTGAAAATCCGCAGCTCTCGAACTTGTTTTGATCAAAAATTATTTGCAATAAAAGAGTATTTTGGAGGACTTATGGCCGACCCTGTAGTTAGATTTTCTTTACAGAAAAAGCTATACTAGTTTGAGAAATCGATATCTTCATGTTTTTATTTGTATCATTCAAGATATTGGATGCTTTTGAAAATGATCGGTTGAAGATAAAATCTTAGGTATCAACTTAAAAAAAGACATTAAAACAGGATAACTCACATTACTAATACACTTTTTTGGATATGTTATTTTCTTATTTCAATAACTAAAAAAATAAAATAGGGATAATGATCATTCATTAATGAAACAACGACCTACCATTCTACCTAATTACGCATTAGACAAGAATAGCACTCATGTGACATTATTTCTCTTCGCGACTACTCATTATATTTAATAAGTTGAATGACGTTGCTATTTTAAAAATAACTCAGGAACATATATACAAGAACAACACAAGAAAAAAAAAGTATCAGCATGATGTAAGATAAAGTCTAGAAAAACAAAAACAAGCGTCAACATTACGAAGACATTACTCGACGCAAATAATAATGTGATAAGGACTTTATAGTGAAAAAAAATAAAGAATTCGTCATTTCGTTATCGTATTTATATCTATTTTATTATTTAATAAGACATTGAAAAAGTAGCGTCATTGTTACTTTAAACATAGCTGATGACTGCACTAGTCGTTCACTTCATTTCTGTCTATATCAATGAGTATCTTCTTGATGTTTTCATAAGTAGATATGAGTATGACTTGGGTTTGGACGCAATACGTCTCATTCAAAATAAAAAATCGAAAAACAGTCCACACTTTGAAGAAAACAGGCATTTCTAAGACAGGATGAAATATGAGCAAACTTAATAGAAAAGTTGTACTTATTGCAGGTGCTTCTGAACGTGCAGAACATGCTTTCATCACTGGACGTCGACAAGAAATGCTTGATGAAGCTGTAAACAAGATCAGCAGTACAATTATGGCCGATCTCGACAATCTATGCAACGTCATTAAGAAAGAAAAAGGTCGCCTGGATATCGTAACAGTAATGTTTAGAGATGTAGCTAATAGTGAAGTGACAGAATCAACTTTCATCACCGATTTAATAGCTATCGTACCATTGGCTTGGACTGGCATGCCCGATAAAACGGTCAAAACTGCAGTCTTTCGTACTTCGGACGATAGCAGTTATATTACACGTATCAAACTTTTTGTTGATGGAGGAAAAGAATAAATATGAAGTATTTACTTTATGAATTTGTTCTTTTAATAAAAAATCTTTTAAGTTCAATAAAGATAGCTTACGTAGTATAGTTATGTATTATTTCCTTGATACTGAGATAGTCCTAAAATTTAAAAACTACAGACGACAATATAGCGAGTATGAAATCATACACGATTGTATTAATTTAGATGAATATTATTAGGTACATCAAAGTAGACAATCTCTCCTTGTTGTAACATTAGAATACGATTACTATTGACGACTGTATTCAACCGATGAGCAATTGTTAGTATGGTGCGATCACGAAACTTATCAGCAATCACCTCTTGAATCATTCTATCAGTGACATGATCAACATTTGCTGTAGCTTCATCAATCAGCAATATATGACTCTTCTTCAGAATGGCTCGAGCAACACAAATCAATTGACGTTCACCAGCACTCAGGTTGGTACCCGATTCAGCTACTAACAAATGAAGTCCATCGGGATGATTGCGCACTAATTGTTTGAGTTGAACAGCTTCTAGTGCTGTAAGACATTCATCATCTGAGAATTGTTCGAATGGATCAATATTATATCGGAGTGTACCACAGAAGAGTATAGGTACTTGAGGAATGACACTTAGATGAGAACGAAGTTGATGAAGTGAAAGACGTCCAATGTCGATGTCATCAATGAGTAGAGTTCCACTGATGGCTGATTGGTCGACAAGTCGAAATAGAGCTTGAAGAAGTGATGATTTCCCGGCACCTAAAGAAAAAGCCAAAAATCTATATGTACCAGTTAAATAACAACGTTTGAAATAGTCTCAAAAATGAAATAATCATACCTGTTCGACCAATAACGCCAATTTTTTCTTTTGATTCAATTCGTAGATTAAGATTTCTGAGTACGGGATCAAGTTCTGGGCGATAACGAAAAGTGTAGTCTTTAAATTCGATAGTACCACGAGAAGGCCAATCATCTGCTGGTTGAATGACAACATCGCTCTGATTGCTATTTTGTTGACTTTCTGGTACTAGTTGACCATATTCATGAATACGTTCTGCACTGGTCATTAGATTTTCAGCTTCAGTTGATTGTCGTATAGCCCATTGAAAGAGACCTGTTAAACTGATACAATATGTAACACTAAGTGCTGCTGCCGCCGAGTCGATTTGATGACGTAAAAATACTGCAAGAAGAGCGGTAACCAACGTGAGAAAGGATACCATAATATCGAGTCGTAAACCAAACCAACGCGCCGACGTAAAAACTATGAAGTAAGCTCGTGAATTAGTATCAATTCTTTCCATAAACATATTTAAAAAATCACCTTGAACGTTAAATGCACGAATGCTAGTGAGTCCATCAAATGATGATGAGAACAGTGTATACATAGGACTACGTGTTACACTTTCCAATCGTTTGATTTGACGACTTGAACGCATGTAAAATCGACGAAGCCACAAAACAGAGGGAACCAAAGGAATAAGAATTAAAAGTACCCATGGATTAGTCTTTCCAATGATTGTAATAGATCCAATAATCATCAGTAGATATTGCATAGTATCAATTAAAGCTAGAGGTAAGGCTTGATCTAATACTTGTTGATCTTTGCTTGCTCGATTCAAGATTCGCCCACTTGGATTACTTTCAAAGAAACGTAATGAAGTATACAAGATACCTTTGAGCATTCGATTGTGAAAGTGAGTCGAACTACGTAGCATAATATAGTAGACATAGCTAACACGTATTACTGCTACGATCAATGTACAACCTATAGCTCCAAGATAAACATAAGCATAAAACGATGATTGTTGTCCTTTTTTATCTTGATCAGACCATATAGCGAGCCAAATGTTTGAAAAATCGTATAAAGCTTCATTGATGAGCATAAAAATAATCATTAAAAGCAAACCGAACCATCGTAAAGGTGGTGCAGTAAATAGTTTTAGCCAAACACTACACTTAATAGCACCTTCAACTAATGTCTCATTCTTAACAATTGAATTCACATCAATTACAGCAGCATCAGGTACCCAATCTGTTTCCTTGTTAGCAGATGATTCTGTTTCTGATGTATCATTCGACAGTTCCATTATAGGTATTTGTTCCATCTGTAATTCTTCAATATGACCATTTGTCATGAGAAATATTTGATCTGTTTCAACTAAAAAATGTGTTTGATGTGTGACCAATATTCGAGTTTTTCCACGAAGGAGGCTTCGAGGACCAATGCATTGATCAAAAATATTCTTTGCTACCTTTGGATCCACAGCAGCAAGTGGATCATCGAGTAAATATAAGTCAGCATCAGTATACAGAGCACGAGCAAGTGATATACGAGCTCTTTGTCCACCACTCAAATTGACACCTTTATCACCAATTATCAATAAATCACCGACTTCACCAAAATTTTCTAGATCGACATCAAGACAACATGCTTTTATCACATTCGTGTAACGTTCGTCATTCATTGCTTTGCCAAGAAGAATATTAGCTCGAATAGTGTCAGCAAATATCCACGCTGATTGTGGAGCATACGAAATTGAATTAGCATGCAGTTGTAGTTTTCCACTTACAAGATTAATCTCATTTAGAATAGCAGCGAATAAAGTTGATTTGCCAGCACCAATTGAACCTTTCACTCCAACTAAATTCCCGTTTCTAATTTTGAGATTGAGAGAAAACAAAGAAGGAGTATCTTTCCAAGAAAAAGATGCATCTTCCATTAGGATTACATGATCTTCGTTTTCGTTTTCTATTTTTTCACGTTTATTGGACAACGTATCGAGTTGCATAAACTGATCGATTCGTCTTGCAGAAACGCGAGCCTCACTGAATTTTTCGATTGCAGACGGTAATCCATTTGTTACTGGAACTCGAACCATAACGAAGAAAGCTAGTGTTGTGAATAGATCTTCCGATTGGAAAGTTCGACCCATTAACCAACTACCACCGAATGTAGCAAGAGAAATTAATGGTAATGCAGAGAAAGCAAGAGCAATATTGAGAGCTCTTAAATAGCTCACTTTATAAATATTCGAAAGTTCACGTTGACGTGTTTCACGTACTCGTTGTTCCATAGCTTTTTCCCAATTATACATTTTAATAATTTGGCAGCCGTTAACAAGTTCATTGATCGCTTGCACACGCTTATCTGTACATGCCATTGTAGTGTTTCGATATCGACTGAATTGTCGACTGAAAAAGAACTGTATAGGTACCAATAAAATCAATACTGCATAGCCGAATAATGTCGGTAAACCGATATACCACCAAATGAGACTAAAACCCACAAGAGCTTCTACAATTGCTAGTAATGGAGAATGTACGAATACACTAAATTCTTCGAATTTACTGACATCATTTGCAACTAAATTGATCATCTGAGCAACAGTAGTCTTATGAAGGGCGGCGGTATTGATTGTCAACAAATGTTTATAGATGGCTGATGATAAGCTATTACGAATTCGCATACCTATACGACTATTTCGAAAGAAGATTTGATGAGGAACAATGGCTTGTACGATGCAGGAAGCGAAAAGAGCAATACAAAATATATAACCATCGTACCATGGTAATCCTGATTGATCTTTAATAACGAGAATAATTTGACGAATAAGCAATGGCTGTGCCAAATGAGCCATTATAAGTGGAAAAACAAGTAATATACTTATTAGAAAATCTTTAGCAAATGTATGGTTCAAAACGTACCATGTACCCGGCCATTGAGAATTATACTGATTCATTCGGTTCAACAAAGTTGAACATTGATCTTTGATAGCAAGATCGTCAAGATCATTCTCCACAAGTGTACGTTTATTACTCAAGGAGAGAATAGGTGTTATCCATGAATATAGTGGTATTTGTAACCATCTTGTACATGATGATTCAGCCCAATCTAACCGTGATGATTGTCTTTGCTCATCTAGAAGAATAAATTATTTATGGGTATAAATGTGGGTCTCCACTACATCTAGACCCTCACAATTTATACATACTACAGGGAAATTGATCTGTCGTCATCAGAATAAATTTATTTTATAATTTTGCTATCGTTTGAGACTCAGGTAACACTTTGTAAGAATTGTCGTCCTTGAAGTTGTTGTTTCAAATATGATATTTACTTCATCACATATTCCTTATCATTCTTATATATGTAGTTCTTTGCACACATATCTTGCTACTCTTGATGTATTTATCATTTTCTTTTTTTATTTCAGACAAGAAAAATTCTATTTATTTTCACATGATATTTTAAGAGAATGTTGATGATCGATTCAACTAGATGTTAATTTCTGTCACATGCTAACTATTGAAAGATTCTTTTAACAATTCAATAGCGAGACTTTATCGACAACATAATTTATCGATTGCCCATAAAAAAATAGCATCATTGTCTATTTGTAACAGATTATTCTTCCACATTATTAATGCGCAATGAACATAAACATTTTTGTGTAGCTGTTGACTTTTTTGCCAGTTAATATCTCATAAAAGTTTTACGATAAATCGACAAACCCTCACGATGCTTTGATTGTAGAATATTATCTAAAAAAACTTCATTATTTCAACACTATCTCGTTTATACAAACTATTGATGCTCAAATCAACATTCTGTTGTAACCATACATATTCATCTTGATGGTATTACCACAGAGCCTTGAAGACGACCGTTATCACTTGCTGAAATCAGAAGAAATAGAAATTTTAATATTGAAACAACTTATAAAATAATTGCTATATATGAAAATACAACTATTCATGTGAAATGACATTCATTGTAGATATTCGCTATAATTTCTATTCACTACTCATTTAATAAACTTCGTAACAATTTCATAAACATTAGTTCTTGTCGAGAAGTTTTAACGTTTAGTACGTGGTCTAGAAATAAAGAATGAAATAATTGGATGAAATTGTATCAAAAATCAATGTATTTGTCTGATTATAGAACTATGATTGTATTTTTTTCATCTCACACCGTTCTTCCGATATGAATCACAACCTATCATACTGAAAACAGTTTGTAAATTTATCAAGAATAATTTCTGGTTAGGAATCGATTCAGATGTAATCATAATCTAAAACTTGAACTTAATTCTCTATAAAAGCTTCATTCAGTCATTTTAAGTTCGAAAAATCGTCGCTTTTCACATCGATCCGCAGACTATTTTGACATTTTCTCTTACGATTTTTTTCTCGTCTAAATTTTTTCTTTCTTCCTTTTTCAATCCATTCCACGCACGCAACGTCGAAATGCTTTTAATATTTCTTACTTTTTTCTTTATTCTTTTTTTTCCTCTCTTTATTCAAGTAAAACAACAAAGTATTTTTTTACATTCATTCTTTCACAACAGCATGTGCTGATAAGAGAAAAAAACCCACTAGTTATTATAATTCATCGTATATATATATATAGAATTTACTCGAAGTAAATTGTTTTATTTGATTTAGGATATATAGTGAGAATATTTTGTACACATCAAACAACTGTATAATAATATAAAACAAACGAAAGTAGGAAAAACTCAATTAAACCTCATAATCTGGTAAGTGTACAACTAAAAAATCAAATATTTTTCGCTTAAATTTAATGAGTATCTAGGATACTTTTTTCTCTAATGAATTCTAGATAATTTACATATTTTTTGTTCAAATACATTATCTGGAATGGGTCTGTTGAGTAAGGTACTCAGTATTTTTATTGGTCGAGAAAAATTAACAGATGCAGCAAAACGCATCGGAAATATTTTCGACGATGATAACAGTGTTGGGCAATCATTTTTTGATCACGTTTTAGTGTGTTTGATGACTTTCGATGAAGAAAACGGTCAAGCTCAAAATAACGCATTTTACGACGACGTTCACTTCATAACTCAATGTTTCAACGAGAGTTTCAAGTCACCAGAAGAATGCGAGAGGTTCGGTGAAAGAATTGATGCATACTTCTATGTGTACTCACGGATCCAAGAATATTTCGTGATCATCAAAGCGAAGCATTACACATGTTATCAGCTAGAGAATAGCATACAACAACTTCATGACTTAATCATTTTTCATGCATCAAAAACTTTCGTGGATACAAAAGGCTCAAAACCAAATTTACGTAAAATCGATAATGATCTATTGAAAAGGATGAGGATTGATCTTTATCGTTTGGAAATAACAACAGTTCATAGAGATAAATTAAATTATTTTCTCTGTTTTTGCAAACTATCATTACAAGCCTCTTTATTAATCGATCCTGATAAACGTTTGCAATGGAAAACTATTATCAATGATGTTAAGCATTTTGAGGTTTCTTTTCAAGATATAATTAGACAATATGTTAATTTTGCTTTGGAATTTAAAGATTTCCCGTTAGATGTACCGGGTTTCGTGGAACTTATTTCTCGACTTCCTGTAGTCGTAAGATCTGATGAATCGCCACTGTTGATATTATGTGAGCAATTCGAACTATTAAATTTGAAGCATGACGAATTTCTGGATCATTTCCTCCCTATTTTCAAAAGGACGTTAAAGCATAAGTTATATAAAATGGTTCATGTTGGTGATTTTCTTAAGATACTGGATAGTTATGAACGTTACTTTGCAGAATACTTGTCCGCATACGCAGCTTGTGTCGACACAGATACTCTTTGGAAGCTTTTCTTATATCTATGCCAGACAAGCGAATTGAATGAAATTATTCAAAAATATCTTCTTCTGGAAGTGAATAATCGCATTTCCAACGTCACTCGAAGTGCATTTTTTGATTATATAAAACTGGCCGATACATCCATGGAACAAATGAAAGAAGAGAAACGTTTTCTCTTTGGAAAAATTTATATGGCTATTTTCAATGCTTTCATTATGCATCAACTGACAGAGGAACAACATCGGTATCAATACTTTGAACAAGATTACGAAAAACTATTAAAAACTCTTATTCGATATTCATTGTCAATAAAGGATGCAACTAAAGAACCTTCTTTCTCATTGATTATTCAAAATATGCTGTTCTGGAGCGATAAAAATTATGGCAATTCAAAGGAAAAACTAAAAAATCTATTCCGCAGAATGAATGAATTCGATAAACAAATTCTGGATTCTATTGATCCCAAAGATACTATCCATGATGATTGGATTCAAATCCCTCTGCTACTAAATAATCCACAAGACTTCGTAGATACATTAGATTATAACTTTTATCGAAATCTATGTGAAAAGAATGCGAAAAATCAATGGGCTATCTACACTTGGGAACGAATCCTCAATTTAAGTTTTATAAAACCAGCATTCGATAAAACCAAAGAAGTTCTAGTGAAACTGAATCAATGGATGACAATCGTTAAACATGATCGATATGACGAAAATGACGTATTTACCATTATTTTTATCAATCAACTATTTAAACATGTGATTTCACGCTATTCTAAATCGATTTTGTCCCTCCCGAATATTGAAAATATTATGGATTTTATTATTTCATTGCAAAAACAAAATGATGGAACTTCTATTCGTGAAGAAATGACTCGTTTCGTCAAGCAAGTAGAACAATCGATCAGCAACGTTCTAAAACTACAAGGTACATTTAAGAAAAAGATGTGACACATAATGAATACATTTGTTTTTTTTTAGAAAGTTGTGCGATGTACCTTGATTCGTCGAAAGAGTCGATCGCTGATTGCTTTGTTTCAAGTTACGATATAAAGTCAATTATAGATTTAGCGAATCCACAGGTCTTCAAATTTCCTACAGTTCCAACAAATTTAATATCTTTACTACAACCAGCACCAAGTGACATAAACATTAACATCAATGAGCTTCGTGTTACCTACTATCATCACTTTCTCGATCAGGTCAAACACTGGATTAAATGGTATGATGAAATGACAGCTGTTCTTATTCACATTATCAATTTTCTGAAAGGATTTCATATCGAAAACGCAATATTATTGTACGCAGATTTACATCGAGCGAGAGATAAGTCAAAAATAACAGTTACAGAAATGAAAGAATTTGTTCAAAAGACTTTTGCACTAGTTCAACCATTCAAGAATCTTCGGAGACTTTGTAGCATGATGAATTGTTTAATTCCATTTCAAGTTCTTAATACAGCAACAATTAATGAAGAACATAAATCTTCGAAATTTATTGAACAAGTAAAACGATCTCATCCAGATAATTTCTTTAAAATTATGGCTAAGAAAACCGCATTTCGAGATATTAAAATTCAAGAGCGTCAACAGATTCAATGGTTTATCGCTAGCGAACGATTACAAATTACTGTACACGTCACATTTACTCCAGACGATAATCATGGAAAGATGAAGGTGCTGTCCTTAGGTGATACACTTAGTGTGGAGAGACATACAATCGAAGGTGAATTTGAAACTTTAAGCAGTGGAATGTTGACAATAGAAGTGAATAATGAAAAAGGACAAGTTGATCGAGTGGTTTGGTTTCGTGTTAAACAGGCTTCATTATCAAAATCTCATCTTTTCGAAGGAATTTTCAATATGATATACTCATCATCTTGCGGCGAAAACGATCGCATTGTTACTGGAAAAGACTTGGCTACAGTTTTGGAGAGAGTTTTCCAATTTATTGATAGCCTTTTGAATGGACGAATGAAATTAAAAGATATGGTTGATTTGAAGGCTATCTTTTGTAACAAGAATATTAATGTCCGCGATGAAGTAAAAAAGTTATTTTCCTATCGTTTGATAGCCAATGATAATAACCAACAAGAACCAGTTAAAAATACTGAAGTTACAGAACAAGAAATCGAACAAGTGTGTGAATGGTTGCAGATTTATCAATATTACAGTTACATCAATATTATTGTCACTTGTGTACAGCAATTCAACATTATTTCAAATGAAAATGCTGATGAAACGATTAATTCAATCATACAGTTAAGCGACGAGAACTGTTCGCTAAAAGAGATTTCTGAAAGATATCGAAATCTCAAGCAACAATTTCGAAAATTAACCAGTCAACATTTACAACTGATCAAAACAGCATCCGAATGTTTAAATGTTATCCAAATGATGAAAAAAGCTGAATTATACACAACTCATGGAAGACGTCGCTTTCAAGAGCTAAGAGATAATTTAACAACACAATTTCAACTTCAGGAAAGAAACAATATGATTCTTAATTCGTGGATTATCATCTATGGACTATGTGAACCTTTTACAATGAAAGCAAAAACTCTTGAAGATTTCGTTGACAGTGTAGCTAAGTTACCTTACTTCGAAGATACTCCAACGACACACATGCAAAGTAAGAAATTTATTTAGAAGAAATATCATCATCATCTCCGCTTTGTTTTCAGTTGTTAACGATAACATACAACTTGTCAATATGTGGCTATCGGCTGAAGATGCAAACGTACTAGATAACGCTTTGATAACTATGGAACATCTTTATCGTAGTGGCGTCGTTCATATTCAATTAAGACGATTGATTAACGAAGAATCAAAATTTGAAATCGAGTATTCAATCAATAAAACTCAAACCTTGATCAAGGAAGATCCGGAAAATTTAATCGACGAAAATGATGGATTTCAACAACCAAAAGAACCTGAGAAAATTAAATTTATCATGGCCACATCTGAAGTTGATGATCATAAACTGCAGCTGACATTTTGTAATGTCGATCTTTCTGAAGCAATGAAATCGAAAAGAATTTTATTAAATGAACAATTGAAACTATTGAACACGGTCAACAATATCTATTCAACAATGATTCAATTAGAAATGGCCGGTCATCCCGATTATCAATTGAAAGAAGAAACACTTCAATTGTCTGATCGTGCAGGTGAAATTAGTCGAATTCTATCTGGAATGAAAGATAATGAAAATGAAGAGATCAATATTTTGAAAAGACTCGTTGAAAAACAAACAGATCAACTTCGTTTGATTCATCAGCAAATGGTAATTAATTACAAACTCTGGTTAGAACATTTGGAAGAATATCGAAAGTTGACACGTCTATTACAATTGTTTTCCAATCGTCAAGTGATGATATTGATCATTCTATTGACCAAATCAAGAGAAGATAATCGAACAAAATCGAATTTCCTTAAAAAGTTACATTTCAAAAGTGATAAGAATTTCAATGATAATCGAGAACTTGAGTTAACGATTGAATCATTGAGACATTATTTACGTTCATTACGTTTGTTTACTTGTGATCTATCAGCTGAGAATATCCAACGACTATATGTCAAACATCAAATACCGAACAGATCCAATAGTGAATCATGCTTGAAGAAATTATCTGCATTTTTAAAAGAACTTCTTCATGATGGAGATGAATTATTTATCGAGAGAACAACAGTCAATGACAATCAACAATATCTAGTCACATTGACTCATAAAGATCAATTAGCCGAACCAAATCCACTCGATCATGATCTTGATATGGAAACATTTTCAATTCTTGTCAATATTCTCAGTCATCGTTTACCAGCATCGTTTCAAATCCTTTGGTGTTCTCATGCAACACAAGATGATATTCATTTATTCTTCATTCGTATTCAAACATTCTATCATCTCACATTTGTGATTATGGATATGGACAAGATGCATCATCGATTAAGAGAAATATTATTCAACGAACAAGATATATTAACGAAATCTGATCGACCACATGGTGAAGTTTATTATTTCTCGAGAGAACTAACATCAAGAAAAGGATTACGACCGTACCATATAACGCCACAAATACGAAACTCAGTAGTGGCCAATAAAAAACTTAACGAGCTATTTCAAAGTAATAATTTAATCAAACCGCGACTACGTGTAATTTGTGGAAAGGCTGGTATCGGTAAGTTGAAGACACTCATATTTATGCCAGTAATGATGACCTCTATCTTCCTTTAGGAAAAACCCATCGAATTAATACTCAGTACAAAACTCCGCAAACTTTATCTATGAGTATTAATGATCGATTGCATTTGACTACATTAATCAATACATTGCTCTCGTTTGATTCAACAAAAAATGATGAAGAGCCCAAGGTTTATTTCAACATTTCGATTCATGCTCCATTCATTGAACTTAATCGTACATTCTTTTCGTTATTTGTTTGTGGTGCATTGTCGGATACAGATAGTGGTTTAGCATTTTCATTGCCAAATGATCACCCATGGACATTCTTCATTGAAATTCCTCATACAGATAAATATAATCGAAATATTAGCGATAATTTCATTCAAATTCTTCCATTATTATCTTTATTGAATTCAAATAGTTTTGAAGAAGTTACCGAAAACAATCACAAACTTCATATTGGCAAGCAAGAAGAACTTGTAGCGCGATTCTTAAAAGCATATATAGATGGAACAATAAACCGACTTTACGTCGAAACTACTGCAGAAAAAGATACTGGATTGCAGTTCGCTCCATTGAATAATGAAGAAGAATGTCGACGTCAGATTAACGATTGTATGACAAAAAATGCACAAGAATTACAACGAAATAAAATATCTGAACTTTCATTTGTCAAGTTTTTGTACCGACGTGTTCGATTTTTTACCGACTCTGGATTTTACCGTTTCAACGATAATGATGAATATTTAGGAACACGAGCGATGGAACAAATGATAGAAGAAGCGAAAAATCTTTCACAAATGAATTTTCAAAGAATTGATTATCCTCGAATATTTCTCGTTTATGATCCTGGTTTCTCACTTTATTTGCTACATACTGAGTGGGATTGCGTGCCTCAAAATTTGAAAGAAATTTTCAAGCGAGAAGATCCAGCAAAACGAAAAGAATTTAAAGAAAAAAATTATTTTGCCAAATGTTTGTCTTGGCTTCTAGATATTTCATATGATGATTTTATGGATGTAATGAAGGAAACGAAGTTTATTCTTACTCAAAACTTCACCTACAAGCTGTTTCATGTTCATGAAAGAAAATTAACGAAGCTTCCTTTAATTATTGAAGGTCATACGGGTGTTGGTAAAACATATTTACTAAAATTTTATTCGATGCTACTCAATGCAAAGCTTACAAAAGGTTCTCTCGATGAGAAAGTATCACCACGTATTCGAGAACGAATATGTGTGTGGTTACGTAAGACAGTGATTGAAACAATATTGGAGAAGAGACCCTATTTGTACGATGCAATATTGAAGCAAATTCAACCAAAAATATCTAGAAATAATGAGCAAATTAATCAACCAGAAATTGATCTTCCATTTCAAAACCAGGATGAAGAGGAAGATGATGATGATGATGATGAATTTGAGGTGGAAGCAGCTATAGAACAAATACCTCTTCCTGGTCGAGCAGTCCGACCAATCGATGATAAATTTTCAAAAGAGATCAAATCCGTACTTTCAAGTCATGGTTATGATAATGGTAAATTACGACTTATTTGGAAAACAATTGTCAATATTACTCACAATACAGATTTGGAAACATATCGCATATTAAATAAATTACTTTATGAACACATCACATTTCATATTACAAGTTTTCCTCTGATGAATATCACTCCTCAACTTGGACAACTACTGAATCCGAATACTCTCGAAGAATCACCTTTAAACTCGATCAAATTATTTGATGAATATTTAATGCACATTAATACTAAATCATTATTCTATCGTCTTCTCCTTCATCCAGGTATTGCAGAAGAACAATTAGAAGATTTTATGAAACCAATATGTCAACTGGCTAATGAAGTTCCTGATGTTGAATTAGTTATATTCTTCGACGAGGTAAACACTTCGTCATGCCTTGGATTATTCAAAGAAATGTTCATGGATGGTACTTTACATGGAAATAATTTGCCTACGAATATATTTTTTACTGCTGCAATCAATCCATCGTCAGTAAAAGAGGATGATAAAAAGGCGGTCCATCGTAGCGATTATCTTGTTCATCAATTACCACAAGCCCTAGAAAATCTGACAATTTCATACAGCACATTAGAATCAGATACATTGAAAGATTACATCACTAAGAAAATCACTACATTTTCTCTTCCAGGACAACAATTGACATTTATCGATTTCTATATTCAAGAAATGCTCACTGATTGTATATTAAAAGCTCAAGAATTCTGCGAAGAGTTTCTAGGAAAAAATTCTGTTTCTCAACGAGAAATTCAACGATGTTTCAATCTAATCGAATTCTTTTGGAAAATGAGATTCGATGATGATACAGTTGAACCTGATGTAAAACGTTGTATTGCGTTGGCATTAGCTTTGACCTATTACTTTCGACTTCCAACGAAAGAAGATAATGATCAACGAAAAGATGAGAAAACTCCACCACGAGAAAAGTTGGCTAGTATTCTATCGCGAAAAATTCCAGATTTCGTCGGTATCATAGAAAGAGAATTGGCAAACTTTGTTAATCCAAACAATTTTCTGATTCCTCAAGGTGTTGCGATTAATCAAGCAGTAAGCATTTGACTGCATATTTTGCAATTATTTGACTCATCATGTTTTTAGGTTCGTGAGCATATCTTTGGTATTGTGGTCAGCATTGTTACTAAAACACCGTTGTGCATCATCGGTGCTCCAGGTTAGTATCTTAAATGTATGAGATCTTTGTATTAACTATTTCTTTTTGTTCGTAGGTCAATCGAAGACACTCTCGTTCCAGATCGTTCTGCAGAATCTGCAAGGTCCACAATTATCAAATACAGCATTTTGTAAAAAATTACCTGCCATCGATCCTTTCTTCTGTTTGGGTTCGAAATATACTCGATCAGAAGATATCGCATACATTCTGGATCGCGCTATTAAACGTGAACAACACTACGAACAGAATCGAATGAAAACACGATGCGTAAGTTAATCAGATACGGCTTATATGAACATATACAATATTGTTCTTATTTAGGTTGTATTCTTAGATGAAGCATCACTACCCGACGAGAAAAAAATGGTTTTGAAAGTATTACATCCTTATTTGGATGAGTGTAAAGTGGCTTTCGTTGCTGTTGCCAATAAATCGTTCGATGCAGCGAACGCCAATCGAATGATCTGTATTTATCGATCTTTACCATCGAGAGAAGATCAACACATTCTGGCTTATGGATGTCTGGGTTTGAAAATCGATAATCAACAGCAGCGAGTCAATGATCGTCTGAAAAAAATTATTAATGGTCTTTGTCAAGGTTACCGTCGCTTATTAAGCACTCAATCTATTCCACAAATTTATCATGATCGAGATTTTATTTACATGTTACGTCAATTACGCTTCGAATTAACGACAACAACAGATGAACAGGAAACACATGTCGATGGTATTACACCTCTCAGTCTTCTTCATGCATTGGAAGAAAATTTCAATGGGACTTCGAAAGAAAAATTCGAAGAACTTCTTCAAATTTTTTTCAAAGCTGTCAAAGAAGAATGTCCAGATTTTCGATTACCACCGAATCAACGTCGAAACATACCAACGATTCTTCATCAATCAATGAAATTGGATTCCGTTCGACGTCGACTCTATGGACGATACAAATTAATTATTGATGAATCAGAAGATGAAAGTGCTGTGCGTCTATTAACGCAGAGTGGCGTTCTTGATCTTGATCCAAATAAAATAGTTGTCTTTCGAATGTCCGATTTTCCAGATGATGTCAATAATGAATTACGAAACGTCGAGATTCTTTCAACGATCAAATTATGTATGGAAACAGGTAAAACTATTCTAATGATCAATACTGGACGTATTCATGGTTCACTTTATGATGTTTTCAATCAAAATTTCTCGATTATGGCTACAGGTGATAACAGAAAAATCTGGTCAAAAGTTGCCATCGGACCAAAAACGATCGATATTGTCGTTCATGAAGATTTTCAATGTATTGTTCATATCAATCGAAATGAATTCAAAGAGATTCCAGCACCATTTCTAAGTCGATTTCAAAAATATTCATTATCAATTAAAGATTTTTATCAAATTCGATGGGCTAAACTTTCCAACGAAGAACAGAGATTGATGGAACAGGTCGAAGAAAAAGCTCAATCATTTATTGAACATATTGGACAACAATATTTCTATGGTCTAAGTTCAAATACACTTTATTCGTGTTTATTAGGATTGATCAAGAAAAACGATGAAGAAGAACGTTATTATCTGAATATTCCTCAACAATACACACAACTAACAATGAAATCAAAATCCGTGATAGAACACAATTTAACCAATATTTTTCAATGTCTTCTACGATCAGTTCTTTCGAAACTAATGCAATTGATCTCTCCAGAATCCATTATTTTAAAACTACCAACTTTTGAAGATCAAGTATCACGTTGGATCTGTACGAATTACTTTGAAAATCAAGAACATTTCAGTCTTGAAAATTTTCTTCGAACTTTGACGACATCACCAATATCATCAATGGATATTTTCGATTTGGAAAATAGTAACGATCGACCAAAGGAAATATTGCGTTCGACAACTAAAGTAATGATATTTACACGAACATCATCTCATATCACTGGTCTCAATCAAGAAACTAAACATGAATTATTTTCATCTTTGAATGAAGATGATTTAAATCTTTTCAGTGATAAAGTCGATATCCTCAATTTGGTATGTAGAATTGCTTATATAATCGCCTGAATGCATATGTTTACTTTTAGTCGATCATCGAAAATTCTGCTGAATTAGAAGAACAATTCATAAAATATGAAAACAATACTGAGAAAAATTTATTGATGATTGTAATTAACAGTCGTAGTAATCAACAACGTTTACATATTCCATATATTCGACAATTAATTGATAAAGTTGATTATCGTTGTAATTCAGAAAAACAAGATAATTCCAAATATTTTCTTCTACTCGTCCATTCACCAGCACAAACAATTTATCATCAATCATCATTTTCATCGATATTTCTACATCATTGGGATTTTTATTTCTTTGATACATGTTTATCAAATAATTCATTTTATATTAAGAATTTCATACAAATTCTTACTTCATCATACGATAACAAAGCACATCAAAATGATAATCAAATACTTTGTGATTACAATATTTTATTTGACGATTGTCTTTGGGATTTTTGTTCTCGAATTCAAATTGTTCTTCAACAATTACCAAGTGATTTATTTGCGAATCGATCTGCTTACGAATTTTATCAACGTCAAACAAGTACATTTCGACGTGTTCAATATTTGAAAGAAATTCTTACACAATGTACCGAATTACAAAAACGAATTGTTAATAAATATCAAATGTATTTATCACTAAAAAAGAATGCATCAAAGAAAATTTACACATTAATCTATCAACTTTCCAAAGATATTCTTTGTGGAAAACGTTTCGATGGTCTTGTTGATTCGATTCAATCTCAAACTCGACTTTCGTTCAACAATTTTGTATGTACTATTCTCAAACATATCGTTAATGATTATGGATTAGAAACTTTATCGAAACTTTCAAATATCAATGATGGATATGATACTATGTTGAATCTAATTGATCATGTATCAGTATCAAATGAACAAGAAAATGATTTACTTTCAATTAATAGTCAAACTATTTTTCAATTAGTGACACATTATGCATGTATTCCTCAAACGCCGCTCTATCATCTTTTTCATCAACGAATTAAATCCTATTCTGATGAGATTAAATTGAGATTCATTGAAAAAACAGCTGAACAGAATAATATGAATGAAAATGAACATACTATTGAAGAATTTCGATTTGAATTGATCAAAGCAATTGAAAAAGATTCGATTTTAATGAAAATTGTCAATAAATCCGTTTTAGAAACATATTCAAATGATTTAGTTCAAACATTTTGTACAATTGTTGAGAAAAATTTTACTGATGATCGTATTAAATGTCAAAAATCAATTGAATTTATCTCTCGATGGTTACGTTTAGTCGATGAAAATGAACAACGAGTATTAGATGAATATCATCATGAAGATATTTGGCGATTAGCTCATGTTTATACATCATTTGAATACGATCGAAACGATTTATTTTCTTTGTATTCAGCATGTCGAATAATGGATCGTCTCGATCAAACTCAAACATTTTATCATCAGTTATTTGACAATGGGGATTCAACTCGAAGTCTTGTTCGTGAAAATTTATTTCGACGAATGTTTGATGATCTATGGGAAAATCTTTCTAATGTATGTTTTAATCATCAAACTAAAGAAACATGGGTTCTATGTTATACAATGATATCGAAATATTATCCATCTAGTAAAGTTCTTGAACAAACACAACTGATTGATATTAAATCTCGTATTGAATTTATGAATTTGGCTTATTTTATTCTTCTAAATGAAAATTTAACAAAATCTGAAGAACTTGTGATTAAATTACTTCAACAATTCGAATTTCTTCAAGAGAATGAACCAAACTATTTTGGTGGACAACAAAAATCACCCTATATTGAAAGGTATTCATCGATTGTTGAAACTGTTAGCAAATATATCGAAGAAAACAATCTTCCGAAATCAACATTAATGATTGATATTCAACAATGGATAATTTCAATTTTAAAAGCAAATGATACATCATATCGTGAAGAAATATTTTCATTATTTAAATATTTAAATCAACCAATTTGTCCGTTATCATTGACGATAAAAGAATTTCTTTTTGATGAATTGGCGAATATTTATCTCAAATATTTACCACGACACCAAATGGTTAAAGATACATGGGATCGTATTCATCTTCTTCCAACAATGATTCGATGTGTTTCGGATGGAAACTTACTTGAAAACTATCGTTTACCATATCATCCATCAGTGATCAATCAAGAAAATACTCGATCGATATTGCTCGATCTTTTCTTTTCTTATATGAAACGTTTGATGACTAATGAAGTAGTTCATTGTACACTGATCAATAAAATTATACAATCGACAACTCCAACTATTGATATTCGTCAACTTCAACCGGTAGTCGAAACTGTTTTTCGACAATTAAAAGATTATTTTCTTATTCAATTGACAGCTCTTCTTCTCTGCCAAACCGATCGATCAGTTGAAGATCAACTTGATATCAATCGTATTCTTTTATATATGATCAATAATTATCTGTCGATTCAAAATAATGCAACAGAATTGAGTGAACCACTTCAAAATTTTCTTTCCATAATTGTTTCTAAATTTTCATGGAATTCTCTATTAAAAATACTTAAATCAGATGATATTCAACAACAAAATCAACACTGGTCATTAACTTTAGCTCGATTTTTTGAGACTGAACAAGCAATACCAATAAAAAAATCTTCATTACAGATGAGTCATCAACTAGGATTCACATTAGGATCAAATGATGAACAATCCATCTTTCCACATCTTCAACAACCTTATACAGAATTGAAAAGAATTATTGATCAATGTGTTAATCAAAATAACGATGAACAACGCTGGAAATTATTTACAGATTGGATTACTGTGAATCGTCAAGGAAATCCACCAAAGCTGCAACTTAATGAAATCAAAGTGATTGTTTTAGTAAATATCTACTATGAATATTTTTGTCAAGATCGCTTAACATCGATTGATTCATTATTACCAATTATTGAAAGAAACTTGGATCTTTCAGTAGAAGAAAGACTTGTTTTTCGAGCTCTTAGTCAACCCGAACAATCAATGATTGGTTATCCAAAAAATCAAAATGATGAGAGAAATACATTGAATAATTTCTTTACTCCACAATGTCAAAATGAAGATGAACTTCGAATTCGTCATTGTTTAGTTAATTTAATGGCGATGATTCTTCTTGGTGGAAAACAAAGTTTTCTTTGGTCATTTGCATTTCAACCATTAAATTTACTACACACCCACGGTTAGTAGTCACGACGAGTTTCGATCATTTGCTATGAAATACGATTATTTTGAAATTTTTCTAGGCTTTGGTACTACGGCTCAACAACCGATTGAAGAACATGGAGTTCATTATGATTGTGGCTGTGTCATCGATGAAAAAGGTGAATTGCTACAATTTTCAGGGAAGCCGAGTTTGCTAAATGTACCAGGAACCTATGTAGCATATTTTTCAACCTACGGCGCTATGGTAAATTGATTGATTCATATATCGATTTTAGTTTATCATCCTCTTTATTAAGGCCTGGCATTTACTGTTATACGAAAATTCAGTAAACAATTTGCATGGTCCTGTTTTAGCAAAACATGCTGTTGGTAATGCAGAGAATGGTGGTCGAATGATGGGCAATCAAGAACGAACAAAAGTGTGTCATTTCGTTTGTGCTCGTCTCTTATCTACCTATCATTTTCTTTGTGTTCGTTTCAATCAAGATGATACATGTATACTTATTAATCGTTGTTCAGAACAAATGGCATATTTAACTCTTCAACAACAACAATGGATTAAACCTGTTTATGCAACATATGATGATCAATTCAATGCTGAAAGTCAATATCAACAACACGTCTTCTATTCTATTCTTCAAAAACTACCCAATTACAAAGCTCAAATCAATCAATTAGATTTACAATCAGAGATTCAAGCAAATTTACAAATCTATATCGATCAAATGCCTATTGTTGTTAATTATGAACATTTCAAAACTGAACTTCATAATCCAAAGAATTTTGCATCATCATTAAATATTTTACAACGTGTTCTAAGTACTACTGGTTTTCTTGAAATGACTCGATCGATTTATGATTTAAGTCAATTTTATCTTCTTCTACATCAAACTTATAGTTTTTTGATTGAACGAGATGAATTCATTCAAATAACATTAGAAGATCTATTAAAACGTGCTGAACAAAATTCAAATATTATCGATCAACGTCTTCGTGCACAACATCATTCGATCATTGAAAATGGATTAAAAGCTATCAATTTATATCATACATTTACTGATGGATTGATTCAACCAGGAGCTTGTGATGAAACTCAACATTTTGATAAAGTTTCAATTGAAACACCAATTCATTATTTAGTAACGAATGAAAATCATGATGAAGGTGACATAGTCATGAGAATTCTAAGGTAAATAATAGCAGCAGTTGAAAATAATTTTTTTGATTGCTTTCTTTTCGTTTAATTTCAGTGTTCTTGTTGATTATCATAATGGTCTATTGGATTTACTAGAAAAGGAAATAAAAAATGATCCTAACGATTGCATGACTGTTCCTAAGAATTTAGTTTATGATATAGTTTCGAAAGATGTTTCAATTTTACAAATCGCTCGTGATAATACAGGTGTAATCACACTTACATCAAATGATGTTAAATGGTTATCGAAATTATCTCGTGCTAGTTTAATTATTGATAAAGAAAATTTCTTTGAAATCAAAGAAAATTCGTTGGAATTTAATTTTCATTATATTCAATTTTTCATCATTCGAACACATTTATTGTTATGTCGAATCAATTTTCGTCATATTGTTCAGAAATATCAATGTTATAGACGAGCAAATCAAACGAACAATGAATCTGATATGATTGAACTTGATGAAAATTATTCGAAAGAAATCGATCGAAATAAATTAGAAATTGAATGGAATCATCTAAAAAATATGTTAGTCGATAAACTTACTAATGGTTATAAACTTCTTCGACAAATAATATTATTAACTAAATCTAATGATCAAAATCTTTCACATTTAAATCTAAATGAATTCTTAAATATTTACACTAATGATCAAACTATTCGTGAACAATGTGAACTGTATGAAATACGAAATTTTCAATTATGTTATTTGAATCATATTCAAGAATTGTATTCTAATGCTATTAATGATATTCAATATTTATTTAGTGATGTTCCTCATCTATTACGAACTCCAATCAATGATGAATTAAATGAAGAATTAAAACAGAAAATCAAAATAAATTTAATTGATATTGAATATAATGATCATGTTGAGAGATTAAAATCAACAATTCATATGATAAGTGAATTTTTGAATGATTTACGTTCGATTGAAGTTTCTCTATTTGAACAATCGACACAATCATTACCAAAAACATGTGAATATGTAGCAATAGAGAGTCCTATATTATCATGGATTCCTTCTGAAATTCGTTGTGAAAATTATGTTTCATTAAGTATTCATTTAATTCGATGTCGATCGATTCTTGAAGAAAAATTAGTTAATATTCAAGAAAAACAAAATATTCTATGGACTGAAGAAATTGATGAAAATCAAAATCCAATTGAATCAAAGAATACATTTCTTAATTATTTGAATAATAAAGAAGATAATTCACAAGATGGATTCGCTATTAATCTAATTGGAGAAAGTGGATTCAATCTTCCAACAACAACAATGGGTGATAATTATCACTGGAATTATGTTAATCATTTACTTGATCAAGACGATCAGAAAACAATGAAAACAACAATTGATAATGAAGAAATAAAACAAGATGAAATCATTAAAGATGTCGAAACAATTAATTGTCCAACTCTGTATACAATGCAACTTAAATCTCTTCCATTTTCATTATCACCATGGTTTGATCTATTAAATCAATTGAAAACTTCAAATAGTGAAGAAGAAAAAAAAGCGAAGTCTGTTAGTATTATTCATCCAGATGAAAAAAAGACTTCTCATCTATTGAGAAAAGAAAAACTTTTTGAACAATTGCAAAAAATATTCAAAGATAAAGGTTATTCATCTCAGATATTGATACCTGTCGATAAATATCACATTGGTCTTGATCTGAACGGTGATAATCCATCACTTCCACATGATTTTCCATTGGAATATTCAATTCTTCAAAGAACATCTTTGATAGAAGTTAAAGTTGAATATAAAGAAAAATCGGTTAATTATTTCACGAGATTGGAATGTTCAGTGATCAATATTTTCAATCGAATATTGAACGATCCTAAACTCGGCGTACATCTTGATACAGAAAATTTTATCTGTGTCCTCGATGAGTCTAGACGATTGATTTATGACGGAATCATTGGAGATCTTTTTTCTGTTAATGATCAAGAGAAGAGAAAAGTTCGTTTAATCATCACAGAAGAAAATGAATCGATTTCGTTCCATGAAATTCTCTATCGAACTGCTCAAGGTAAATGAAGGTTTTCTGTAACAGATTTTCTAGTAAAATCTTTCTAATTTTAGACGAAGAGAAAAGAATTTTACTTCATCCAAGTACAATATGGCAAAATTTAGATAATTGGTTTCGAGCACAACCTGTCGCAAAAAATCTTGATACAGAATATTTCAGTTATTTTCTCAAGGAAAAGAACAGCATTGTTGATAAAACAGATAACATTTCCTCGACAATCGAACCGATTACAATCGATGTAATTAGTCGAGATTCAACAATGAATGTACAAATTTCTTATGAAGATGCATCCGAAAAAATCTGTGTATTAAAAGTAATGAAAATCAATCAACTGTTGTACAACGAAAAAATTTTATCAAAATTGAATTTAAATGTCAATTCTCTTCGTGATTGTGTTGTAGCTTTAGGAGAGAATTCTGATCAAAGACTTTCAAATGAAGATACACACAAATCGATCGGAGAATTTTCTGTTGATGATCAACAAGTCGTAGAATTTCGTATTGCTTATCTCATTCAAATTTTAACTTCAGATAATAATGAAAAACCTGAAGAAGTTCTTCTATTTAACAGAAAAGTAATGATCGAAGAATTATTACGAATTTCTAAAGGATCTGATCGTGGTTACAAATATCTTGCGTCGTATAATACAAAGAAAATTATTGATGTTCATCAACTATTATTTGATGTCAATGAAACAAGATTTCTGCTGGTGAAAGAAGATCAATTTTGTTCGATTCATATTCGAAGATCAACTGAAAATCAACTGATTTTAATTGATGATGAAGCAAACAGCAAACAAAATTTTGCTTCATTTGCTACCATTGCTGATGTTTACAAAGCAAATCATATAGATAATCAAAATAAATATCTTCTGTTTGAAAAGGATTTTCTTCCATCGATGGAAACTTCATTATCAATCTTCGTATCAACATCACCGACTGAATTCGAAGTGAGCAGTGAAAAGCTACCAATACATATCATCGTCGAAAACGGCATTGATAAACAAACTGTCAATTATTATAGTTTATCTCAAACACAATTTCATCGGTTGCGCTCAATCGCATGTCAACTCATGCATTTAAATCCAAAATTTTATCAATTGATGTACGATGGAACAGAATTATCAGACGATGAAATGTGTTTGGATGATCTTGAAACTGTTCCAAATGAAGTTAAATTAGAATTAATTTGCATTGCTCCCTTAAAAGCTTCAATTAAGTTCGAACAACTGGAAGTTTTGATTCCATGTACTGAAGAAACTTTAGCGTCGGAGTTGGTCGAAGAAGCTTTGTTAAAAATGAACTTTTCAAAAAGCAATTCGTGTCAATTTGAATTATTTGCTCTTGTTGATGAAGAAATACAAGTCGAAATGGATTATAAAATTGAAGATGTTCGTGAAATTTTTCCTGAAGATACTGAAACGATGAAACTTGAACTTAAAAAGAAATAGTTTTTCTAGTTTTTGAATTCTTGATTATGTTATCTTTACAATACTTTTTTTTTATCGTCAGCTAATTCGTTTAAAAAGTGAATAAAATGAGGGGTTTGAATACCAACCTGACCTATTTATAAGAATATTTTGTATCTCATAGAACATAGAAAGAAAATATAGTTGTCCTTTTGAGTTTATCATTATGCAAACAGTAACGAGTCTTATCGCAAACTATTCTTTCGTATATATGGTCTCTGTTTTTACTTGCGTTGACAAATAAAAGATTCCTTGTGAAAACCGCGTCATAGTTCGTCTTTTACCCATGGCTCAAATAATTCCAGAACCACTTTCACAAAAACCAGGTATTCAATTAATCAAGGCTGGATCACTTGAAATGGTTCCACTTGGTGAAACCTATATGTGTGCTGGTCTGAAATCGAATATTATTGATGTTCCAATTAGCAATCAGAAAGAGCAATTAACTATGGGTCATTTTGAAATGCGTCCATCACCCAACGATTTTCCCTTCTTTTATGAATATTTGGAAGTAAAAACAGTGGTTAGTGGCACTATTGTTGTCAAAGATGAAGAACAAAAACGATATGAAGCTCATGTTGGTGATGTCTTTATATTTACGCCACCATATTTAGTCACATTTCTAGCTGAATCAGATGGTCGTGCTGTTTACATGGGTCATCGTGGAGCAGAACCATCATTTCTACCAGGTTACCAAGGTGGACCCATCAACACACCCGGTATTAATGATAAATAAAAACAATATATATATTTTCTGCTTTCATAAATATTACTATCTTTCATTTATATCAAATACAATAAAAAGAATTCAAATTTTTCCAGTATAGATATATGGTAATAATTTCAATTTTGATGAATAATCTAGCTACTATTTAAAAGATATTAGACGATGATCAAGTAATATAAAAACACGAATTTTTGCTTTTTTTCATTACTTCAATGTAGAGTAAATATTGATATAAGATTTCAATTGTGTATACACTTGTCTTAGATCATTATTTTATTGATTAATGTTATGTAAAGAAATGTATTCAAAAGATTTTGATTTTTTATTCACTTGCGTACATGTCTAGTGGCATTAATAAAAAGAGGAAAAAACGTTATAGAATATTTCTTTTTCAATATCGATTAAACATAAACGTAATATATTAGGTACAATGCGATTCTGGATTGTAATTTTTCTGTTGATCAGTTTTACTGAATTAAAGTAAGTGAGATATTTTATACTGATTTTATCTGATTTATTTTTTCTAATAATGTTTCATAGCTTTGCACGTTTCTTCGGTCAAGATTTGTATGAACCTTGTATACCATTGGTAGACGATTGCAAACCTGGTCTCTATTGTCGTACATCTACAAGTTGTCTCCTGCTACGTAAAAAGCCAGGAATATTGTGTTGTCGATCAACTCGTGGAAAATGAAATATACAATAATCAATTACGTTTATCTCATTGACATTATTATTATTTTTAAACAAAATGCTTTTAAAAGAATACTATATAAACTCGCTTTCGATTTATATCAAATTAAATAAAAAAGAGTCAAACTTTTTCAGTATATATATTAAAGTTGCATGTTCATACAAATTTCGAACTTGTTCTTTGCGTTAGGATATCGTTTTTTTTGTATTATACTTTCTTGTAAAGTACAAAAGTAATATATTTTCTTCTTATTTCCAACATACTATCACTAGATGTCATTCTTACTCGGAAACCACCATATATGTCATTTGTTGATTGCATTAGCCAATAGAAAAATAGTCGTATGTTATTGCTCATGTCGGATGTCATACTTCGTTTTTAGAATTATTTAAATTTGAATGATAATTTCTATTTCTATTGAACATAATATTATTGTTTAGATGTCTCTACTTGATCAGAACTGGGGTGGTATTGGTGGTGCTGATGATGAAGCACAAGATGACAATCAACAGGGCAGACAAGTAATAAATAATTCTTTTTTTTTCAAGAGAAATTAATCGAATTAGATTTTAGATTGTAACAACTCGTGATGGTACATTAATGTTAATTGAATGTACACCAGAAATGTTTGAATCTTTATCTAATACAATGGAATCCGATTCATCAATTGATGATAACAATGAATTAGAAACTGGTTTTCAATTAGTTATGCGTGCTTGTCAAAGTTTTTATCAATCCAAAATTATTTCAAATGATAAAGATCTCAGTGGTATTATTCTTTATGGAACAGAAAAAAATAAAAATACATTTGATTTTAATCATATTTACATTCTTCATGAATTAGCACAACCATCAGCTGAACGTATTATCCAATTAGAAGCTTTATCAAATAAAAATACTTATAAAAAAACATATAATGATCTCTTTGGTTCAACACAATCGAAAAATTATTCATTAAATGAAGCATTATGGACATGTTCAAATTTATTTGCTAATTCTCCTCAACGCTTAACAATAAAACGAGTATTTATATTTACATGTAATGATCAACCACATGCATCAAATTTAACCTTAGAACGACAAGCTAAACAACGTGCTAAAGATTTAAATGATGTTGGAATTGAAGTTGAAGTATTTCCAATTTTAACTGAATCAATAACAAAATTTGATTATAAAAAATTTTTTCAAGATGTTCTTATGTTAAGTGATGATGAACTCGAACTACGAAATAATCAAGCACCAACTGGTAGATTAAATGAGCTATTAAAACTTGTTTATTCAAAAGAACATAAAAAACGTGCTTATTGTACTGTACCATTTTCATTGGGAGAAACTTCTGATGGAACACCATTACAATTTTCCGTTTCAGTTTTTAATATGGTAAATAGTCAATTGTTTATAATGAAACATAAAATTCTCATTTTTTTTTTGCAGGTCCGTCCATGTCCAAAACCAACAAAAATTAAATTAGATATGAAAACAAATATGGAAACAAAAATTGTTACAAAACATTATCTACCTGAAACAGGTTTTTTTCAATGATAGATTTTATTAATCTTTTTATATTTGTTTTTTTTCTAGCTGAAATTCTTATGCCATCTGATATACAATATGGTATTGATGTATCTAATCGTCGTGTTTTATTTGATGCTGATGAAATAAAAGCAATAAAAAAATTTAGTGATCCCGGTTTTCAAATACTTGGCTTTAAAAATATTTCATGTTTATTACCACATCATTATGTTAAACCCGGTCATTTTATTTATCCCGATGAAAAATATGTGGAAGGAAGTTCATGTTTATTTAATGCACTATTAAAAAAATGTTTAGAAAAACAAATGTTTATTCTATGTCAATTTACTGCAAGACGAAATACACCACCACGTCTTGGTAAAATAAGATATTGAATTATTTCGTATTTTATTTTAATAATTTAATTTATTCTAGTTGCACTTATTCCACAAGCTGAAGAAATAAATAAAAAAGATCCCAGTGATCGTATAGCATCAAATGGTTTTCATGTACATTATTTACCATATGCTGATGATATACGAACTTTACCAAAGAATGATATACCACGTATAACCGATGATAAAGTTGATGTTTTTAAAAATGTAATTCGTGGTTTAAAATTTAAATATCGTCCTGATAGATTTGAAAATCCTGCTCTACAAACATTATGGAGAAATATTGAAGCAACAGCATTAAATAAAGATAAACCAGAAGAATTCGACGATTTAACTATTCCAAATGTAGAAAATCAAAATAAAAAAGTTGATAAATATACTACAGAAATTAAACAAATGTTTTTCCCACCGGATTATGTTATGGGTGTGACAAAACGAACACCAACTAAACGAAAGGTTAGTTTTTTTCTTGCATAATAATAACGAAATTCGTAATAGTACAAAAAACGTAAATTATAATCTGTACATGTATGTTGACTCTACGAATAGTATTTAATCTTTCGTTTAGAATGTATCACGTCAGAAATGCGTGATGCTTTCTTATCTTTGAGAGTATGATTAGTTTTGATGAAATACATTTTTTTCTAAGCACGAAAAGTTATGCAATAATAATTATATTAATGATTCTTATAAATAGTAACTAAATATATTGATCTTTAGGCTGAAACAGCTGCCACATCAACCAGTGAAAAAAAGAGAAAACCGGATGATGATGTTAATGTTGAAGCTGCTGCACGCAATAATTCAGTATGAAAAGAAAGAAAAAATGAGAAAGTTTTTTTTCTTCTTACTTTTATTTCTATTTTAGTTAAATAAATTAACCGTACCGATATTAAAAGATTATTGTAAAGAAAAGAATTTAAAAGCAACTGGAACAAAAAAACAAGATTTAATTGATGCTATAGAAAAGCATCTTAGTATTACTACATAGAATTTATTGTTTTGCTTATAGATATATTTTTTTTTAAATAAATATAATTAATAAATAATTTTTATTTTTTTTTCTGTTTTATTCTTTGTCGTTACGCATATTTTTTTTAGCATCCTAGCCAGATAAAAAGACTGCACGTATATAATATGAAGAATATTTGGTCTTTGCACTTGCATAAATTTCGAAATTAGAGAATGCCAGTTAGGAGAGATAAAGAAAAAGCATCATAGTTATAATACCAACATGTAGCATTTCGTTCTGTCTTGATCATTATTATCTATTGCTTCTTTTTCATTATATGATTCTCGTGGGGCAACGCTTGTGTGTGTGTGGTGGTGTGCGAGCGCATACTTTTGATCTTTTTGCTCAAAAGCTTACTTCTTGCTTTTTGCTTGCTCTATTTTTCTAATTCAGATTTATTAATGTCGCATCATACAAGATCACCAATAGAATCAACACCTATTGCTGAAAGTGGACCATCAGCATCTGTTGGTGAACATCCAAATGCAATTACTAATCGGTATTATTAAAATAAGATTGAAAATTTTCTATTTATTAAAATGTGTTTTATATTAATTTAGGTTCTATACGTATGAACGTGTTCAAGACATTGTTAGTTTTATACAAAATATAGTACCAACTAAACCAGAAATAGCTATTATATGTGGTTCAGGTCTCGGCGGTTTAGCTGAATTAATTACCGATAAAATAGTTATACCTTATGTTGATATTCCACATTTTCCAAGATCAACAGGTTGAATATAATTGTTATTTGTATAATAATATTTTCAAATACTCTTTCTATAATAATCTAGTTGTTGGTCATCGAAGTAATCTTGTATTTGGTGTATTAAATGGACTTTATGTTGTCTGTATGCAAGGTCGATTTCATCCTTACGAAGGATATACTACAGCAACGGTATATATATTTTGTTATTATTTTAGTGCATTTACTCATTTATTGTTAATTAGAGATCTTTTATCATAGAAGCTATTTTTACAGATGAATTCATATTACGGTAATAATTAAATCTAAAAATAGATTTATCGTAATTATTCTCTTCATTGATAATTTGTAGTGAAAAGAATTTTTTATTGCTGCTGAGAAAATTTTGCTAGTGATTAATATGAAATAATTTATAAATTTATTTTCTTTTTTCGCTTCTAGTGTGCTTTTCCAGTGCGAGTAATGCGTATGCTCGGTGCACATACACTTATTGTAACATGGTATGTTTTGGAATTTTTTTCTAATATTTTTTATCTTGAATGAATATTTATATTTAGTGCTGCTGGTGGTGTTAATAAAGGATATAGTGTTGGCGATATTATGTTAATTAAAGATCATTTAAATTTTCCTAATCTCGCTGGTAATAATCCACTTATTGGACATAATGATGAACGGTAATAAGAAACAAAAAGATTTTATTGTTTTGAATTAATTTATTTTATATTTATTTTAGATTTGGTAAGATCACAATATTGAACATATTAAGTTTTATAACTTTTATTTTAAAGGACCACGTTTTCCACCTGTTGGTCATGCATATGATCGTCAATATTTATCAAAAATGAAACAAATAGCGTCAAAACATAGTGTTGAATTACGTGAAGGAGTCTATTGTGGATTAGGTAAATAAGAATTTTTGTTTGTATTTTATTTATTCTATTCATTTTAATTTCAGGTGGTCCATGTTATGAAACTATAGCTGAAATTAATATGCTTCGATTACTTGGTGGTGATGCTGTTGGTAAAATAAAACTTCTAACTTGTCTTTTTTACTTCTTAAATTAATATTTTTCTTTTAGGTATGTCAACAGTTCATGAAGTAACATTAGCTGCTCACTGTGGTTTTCGTACACTTGGCCTTGCATTAATAACTAATAAATGTTTATGGGATTATGATACAACATATGAACCTGTTCATGAAGATGTAATTCGTATAAGTGAACTCAAAGCAAATGAATTACAACAACTTATTTATGATTTTATTGGTTCTGTTAAACAAAATCCTACATAAGGATCTAAAACAAAATTATTGTGCAAAAAAAGACATACTTTGTTTTTCTTCTTTTTTTTGCCGTCCTCATATGAAACTTTGTATTCAGATGATTTATTCATTTTGTTTTTTTGTCTCACTCTCTCTTTCTCTTTTCAACCGGTATCAGAAGTGCAACATTTTGTTTTTGTATCTCTATTGTCTTCGTAAAGATCTGTGTTAAACAAGCGAACAAACAGAAACAAAAAAAAGCAGATTTTATTATTCTATTTAGATGTAAAAAAGAACAAAAAAGATTAGATTATGTCTGAACATTTAACAGATGGTAGATAAAAATTTTGTAGTTGATTTTACAACATATTTTATGTATAATTTTTAGTTAAGTCTGTATTTCATAAACGATTCGCTAATTTCTCATCAGCAATTACAAATCGTTTATGGTTAAATGCTCATACAAATTATGATTGTGATGTATTATTAACATTCCCAGCACGTATCGATAATAATGTAATTATTTGGTTTCTCGAAAAATTCCTTCAACTTGAATCAGATATTCGCATTTCGATCAAATATCATTTTACTACTGGTGAAAATTGAATAGATTATTTTTTTTTGATAAATAATTTATATTTATTTATCGAAATAGGTGTTTATGGATTTTATTTAACCTTTACTTATGAAAGGTAAAGATTTGTTTTTAAATATAAATATGATTTAGTTTGTTTTGTATAGAATTTTGAAGGGTGCCGATGCTCTTCAATTAGAAAAACCAATAAAACAAGAGTTTGGTGGTGGTTATCAAGCATTCTTGTTCAATGAATTAGAATTTTATCAAGGTAAAAGACATATTTATTAATAATCATATTCATTTTAGTTTATGTTTAATTTAGGTGTAGAAGATGAAGATAAATTTTTTAGTACACAAGAACGACAATCAATTGTTCTTCATCTTCTTTATTCAATAAGAATTAATGAAGATCATATTTTAAATGGAATTAAATTTAAAATTGATCAATCATTAAGTAATAATTTAATATTATTGAATCTTATATGAAATGAAATAAACATTTATTTAGTTCAACGAGGTTTAGAAAAAAATTTAATTCGACAAATCATTCCATTACATAATAAAGAGCAATTAAATCACTTAAGAGACATATGGGTATGGCCAAAGAATGTTCTTAAACCACAACCAATTGGTATTAATGAAATAAGAATTAAATTTATTTAAATAGATTAAACTATTTCTAGAGGATATTCGACAATATTTCGGTGTTAAAATTGCTCTTTATTTCTGTTGGTTAAGGTATATAAAAAAATAATATTTTGTTGTTTTAATTATGTTTGTTTTTTCTTTGACAGTTTTTATACAAAAGCACTTTGTCTTCCAGCTATTTATGGCATTTATATTTGGTATCATACTGGACAAAGTCAGGTTTGTAATTTTACTGAACTGTTGAGCGAGATGTGGGTCATACTAGACAAACATCGAAATGATTGATCTATTTGTTTTGATGCATGTGAAGTAGTATGATTATTAATTCATCATAAGAAAATTAATAATATATAAACCTAACAGCAGTTCCTTCGCATTAATTTCGCTTTATTTTATTTTCAGGAACTTGATGATAAACTTTTTGTCATCAATGCATTTTTAAATATTATTTGGGCAACAGGATTTCTTATTTTTTGGCGACGACGACAAGCTGAATTAGCATATGAATGGAATACACTTGATATGGAACAATTAGAAGAAACTCGAACAACATATAAAGGTGAATTACGTCGATCACCTGTTACAGATAAATATGAACCATATTATCCAGATTGGAAACGCTTATTATTTCGTTGTTTTGTGACAATTCCAATGCTTATTATAAATCTAGTACTTGTTTCATTTTGTATTGTTTTTATTATTCGTTTGCAAAGTTGGATTGATCGACAATTGAAAGCAGGTCGTCTACCACGTAATTATTATTATATGTTATCAAAAAAAATTTCTAATAAAAAACTCTTTTCAACTAGCATTAATGTCATTAACAGAATTATTTCCAAAAGTTTTATTAGCATTAGTAACAACTATTTTTGATGATGTTTATAAATATGTTTGTCGATGGTTAACAGACCGAGGTAAAAAAGTTTTATATTCGAAAATAATAATGACTAATGTTTTTTTTGTAGAAAATTATCGAGAACAACGTACACATGATAATCAAATCATTGCAAAAATGTTTGCTGTAAATTTTATTTGCTTAATTAAATAAGATAAAATCGTTCTTTGAATTTTAGTGTGCATGTGTTAATTCATATTTGGGTGTTTTTTATATTGCTTTCTTCACACATAAATATATTCGATTATCTGATGTAAGTAAAATTAAAATATATATATATATCATCTATAGATAATGTCGTTTTTTTAGCAATTAATTACCATTTTCGTTATCAAACAATTCTGGGATCATATTAAAGTAAGAAAATAATCGCATTTCTTTATTCTACTCTTGAGAATAATAAAAATTCATATATATATATCTTTATTTAGGAAGCAATTATTCCTTATATTGTTTCAAATACTCGTTTATCTTTTTTAATTCAATTAAGTAAAAAAGAACATACAAAATATACAGAACGAAAAGATCTTAATAATGAACTTAAACGTATTCTTGATCAATGGAATACTTCGAAACAAACAAAACCTGTCGATGATATTCTTATTGATTCTTCATTTAATCCACGTGATACTATACCTAGTTTTGAAACATTATCATTATCACAAGCTGAAATTGAATGTTTACAACCTAAATGGCCTGATTTATATGAAGATTATCTTGAATTAGTTATTCAATTTGGTTATATTATATTTTTATCAACATTATTTCCTCTTGCAGCATTCTTTTCTTTGATAAATAATATACTTGAAATACGTACTGATGCATTTAAATTATGTATGATTTATCAAAGACCTTTTTCACAACGGGTTAAAGATATTGGTCATTGGCAGGTACAAATCAATATATTTTTATTAGAAATATATCAAATGTTTAATTTTTATTTTTTTGTTAAAGAAAATTATGGAATATATGATTGTAGCAGCAATTATTGTTAATTGTATATTTTGTTCAATTCGTGGAGTTTTTCGACGATTAGTACCAAGACTTCCATTTGCTGCAGAAATTTTTCTACTTATTTGTATTGAAGTTAGTAGAATATATTCTTTGTTTTATTTGATTAATCTAATATTAATATTTGATTTCAGCATTTATTAGTTTTATTTTGTAAAATAATTCGTTCAAGTATTGAAAATGTACCATACTGGGTTCGAGTCGAAAAAGCTAAAATGGAATATCGTCGACGTGAAGCACTCAAAGTAAAAGCAAAATACTATTACTCTTCAAATTTATTTTAATTCTTTTTTAAATAGAAACTCGAATGTGATGCATTGCATCTTAAAGAAACTCATTGCCATGTTAATGAACAATAAAATAACATACATATCGTTTATTGTCTAGTCGATTGTATTTTAAATGTACTATTTAATAACATATTGTATTGGTAATAGCATATTTTAATGAATAAATATTGTGTCTTCTTATGTGTATATAAATATTTAAATAAATAATTGAATCAAAATCATTATTTGTATGAAAGCAATTAATTAACAAAATCGAAGTTGAATTAAATATTCAAACATTTCGTATGATGGATGCGCACTAACTTGAGTTGTGCTAAACTAGGTTTTTTTGATTTCGATGGGTGTGGATGATCCTTTGATCTGTATGCCAACACCCAACCTTGTTTACTTTCTCTGAACATGCAATAACGCATATATGAATTTATTGCCTATTCCTTAACACTATTTTTTCCGTCAGGGTCATCCGTTCATTTTATTCAGTGACAACAATGGCTACAGGTAGTATTAATCATATATATATATGTTCGATGCATCTTAAACAGTACATCAGTCAATATTAACATGAATCAGTCAAATGTTTGCTTTTTGGATCTACCTGATGAGCTATTATTGATTATTTTAAACAAACTTCACAACATGGATGTTCTCTATTCATTATTCGATGTCGATAATCAACGACTTCATATGATAGTAAAAGAAAAAACATTCACAAACACTCTCACTTTTGTATTAACAACAAAAAATGGTGATATTTTGTCGCTTGGTGATTTAATAGTTGATCGATTTTGCATTAATATACTTCCAAAAATTGATTATAATATTAAATCACTTATTCTTGAATCACAATCTATGGAACGTATTCTTCTCGCTGCTGATTATCCTAATCTGACCGAACTTAAACTCTACAATTTTAACGACCATATTATTTCACGTCATTTTACAGGTAAGAAATATCAATAGAAATACAATATACAGTAGATAATATTTTATTATTTATTTAGCTGAATCACCATTTCGACATATTTTTCAAGAACAGATTACCGATCTTATTCTTGTATATAATACAGCTATACATATATTATCAAACAATCCGAACGAAATAAATGTGTATGAATATACATTGAATATTTTTAAAAATCTCAAACATCTATCTGTCATTCCATGTAGTCAAGTTTTATCTATCGAAGATTTAGCTTTTACAACGTGGTCGTCATTAAATCTTACCAAATTATGTGTTGATGTTTGCTGCTTTGACGATTGTTTTGCATTACTTGATGGTCGTCTTAAACAACTAAACACATTTATTGTTAACATTGACGACGGGGATGATGAATTATCAAGTGTTTACAATATGGTAGGTTCATGTATTATTACTAGATATTCTTCTCAGTTGAAATTGTTTCAGTTATTTAGTCAACAATCGATTGTGTTATGTGTGTGAAAAGTTTCAAAAACCATTTAGTCATTTTAACTTTTCTCTCTAATCGATAATAATATATTTGTTCACTTTAGGATGATCTACCTAATATGAAATGTTTCTCATTAAGATGTCGATGCGAGACTAATCAATATGATACTCGAGTTTTGCCGCTTCTTCGTCGTATGATAAAACTCGAAGAATTAACTTTAAACATTACTAACTACGAACGAACTACATTAATCGATGGTATTCAAATTAATAATAACATTCTTGTACATATGCCATGTCTTCGAAAATTTACTTTTCATATTAGTACTGAAGTTGAACTACATCATATAACTCATCATTTATCAAACGAAGATATACAACAAACTTTTACTAACATAGGATATCAACAAGTATCCTGTATATTGTACTACATGGTTGATAGTGTCACATGTCATATATTTTCATTACCATTCGCTTTTGATTATCTCGGATATATTGGTAATGCATTTCCACCAGTACACTTCAGTTGTGTCAGGGAATTGACAGTAGACGATGAAACTCCGTTCGAACATGAATTTTTTATCCGAATTGCACGCTTTTTCCCATTGCTCAAAAAGTTAAGTGTTGTTAATTTGAAACCACAGTCACAAATGAAACATCATTTAATCTGTCACAATAATGAATTGTATACAACTGTTGAATATCCACATCTTATTTCACTATGTCTAGAATATGCTTATATTCATTATACCGAGCAATTTCTCAATCAGAGTAAAACACATCTACCACAGTTAACTACATTAAGTGTCGACTATAGTAAATTAAGATTCGTAACAAACAACTTCACAAGAAATGCAACGCGTCGTAATTGTGCTCGATTAAAACAAATAGATTTTGACAAAATAATTGTGCACACGAAAGAGTTTTATGATTATTTTCCTCTTTTGTAATCTTGTTTTTTTGTTATAATTATACTAATAAAATAATTACTAAACGGATTTCAATAGTCATTAATTTTATGGTCGGATAACAGTAAACAATAACTGTTAGAAATATTTAAGATTTTTTCTAATCTATCATTGATAAACAACTTGTTATAATTAGACTTCAATTCAATAAAAGAAAAGAGATAAAACTATTATTGAATTGAAACTCTCTCTTGTTCTCTTTCTCGTAGAGAAGAGTCCAGTAAACATAAATTGTTTGTTTGCTTGTCTGTCCGCAGGGTCAAAAAAACATTTAGATTTAATTTTTCAGATACTTCGGAAAACTTTGACTGGGGGGGGGTATTCGAGAGCGGGGAACTTGAACCTTAGGTTAGTTTATTAAAATTAATTAGTTAATAATCAGTTAATAATTGATATTATTAATTTCTGAAAAAGTTTGACCGAAGGGTAATCGAGTGCCAATAGTTCGAATGTGAGGTTAATTTTAGTTAAAAATCAATTAATAATTAATTAATATTATTAATCTTAAAGATAGCTTCAAGAAAGTTTTACTAGAGGGTAATTCGAGAATCGATTTTTTAGAAAAGACATGTTTGGGACATTTCGATGCGGAGACTTCGAATCTGATTTTAGTTTTATAAAATAATCTTATGAATCACTTTTTTAGGGAGAGAACCAATTTTTAAAAAAAAAATTTTCATAAGGAGTGACCGAAGGGTAAGCGGGGTGGAAGAACACAAATCTGGTGTTAACTTTTCCAAACTGTATAAGCAAAAAGTTTAGTATTGTAGAATACGATTTCTACGAGAAAGAGCTGAGCGAGTCCGCAGACGAGCGTTACTTGTTCATTTTATGTGAGATGCATATCATCTTGCCAATGAAAATACGCCCTTGAAATAGTTATGTTTAAAAGAAATACGATTTTATTTAATACAAATTTGTACTGAAAGGATGTGGACATGAGTAGAAAAAATAGATTTTCATTTAGATTATCTTATTGTACATATCTGCTTTTTCTATTAAAATCCATGGTATTTATATTGCATCCTATTTAATTACTTTATTTTACTTAAAATATATATTACAAATTATGTAAAATTATATTTTTAATAGTTTCGAAGAATTTTCTAAATAATGTTTAATACCATATTTTTCTCTTAATTGTCTCAATAATGAATGATTAAAAGGACAACTAAAATTTTTACCATTATCAATATAACCTCCATTTTTCCATTGATTATGTTCATGTACAAAATCTTCTACCCACAAATCTAAACATTTAAATATTTTATGGGGTGATCTTGTTGTTACTGAAGTACAAAATTCTTTATCTTTTTCACACATTTCAACAAATAATTGTCCATCAGGTGCTAAATTTTCTCGAGGTTGAACTGGTAATGAAAATCCTTGTAAAATAAGTTGACCTGCTTGTCGAATTAATTTTATTACTTCATCTTTTTTTATACCTTTAGTTCGTTCATTGATTGGATAATAAAGACCTTTAATATACGGTGTACCACTTGTCATATGTTGTTCAAGATATGAAGCATATACTTTTGATGTATTTTCTAATCCTTGTGGTCTTAAACCTCCAAGATTAATTGAAACTGATCCATCAGATAAAAATGTTTGATACATTTGACCAGTACCTGGTCCAGTTATATGAATATCCATTTGACGTAAAATTTTCAATTGAGCAATAAAATCATTCTCAATTAATTCATATGTTGGTGATCGAGAATCACTTAGTGTTGCATTGATTTGCGTTAAATTTATATTTTGTGCTCTAACTTGATTATAATAAAGATATGAAACATGAATTAATGGCCATTCTAATTTACTTGTATTTCTATGAGAGTTAGTATAATTGTTTATTTCATTAATTGCATTGTTAATTTCTTTTCGATCATTTGTTGTAAAACGTTTATTATGAATAACATATGCTTGAAGAATATCATGAGATGTTCGATATTCCGATGAAGATTTTCGTCGAATAAGTGAATGAATAAAACCATGTTGTTGATACATTCGATCACGAAAAAGTCTTGAAGCATTTAATTCAACACCACCAGGTAATTGAAGATTAGGTTGTGTACAACGTTGACAAAAAGTTCCACTACCCATTATAATTTCATCAAATATAAACCATCGTCCTTTTGAAAGTTTATTTAAAACAGATTGTTTAATAATTCCAAGACCACCAAAACGACCATAAACATCTTCACTCCAACAATCTTTACATTCACCTATACCGGCAAGAATACGAAATGGATGAAGATGTCTAGGAGAAAATCGAATTAATGCAACATAAGCTGAATAGAGTCCATCAAAAAGTGCATGACCAATATTATGATGCCATGGTTGACCAAAATATAGAGTAACATATGGAATTCTTCGTGGATTAGTTATATTACGAACAAATATTTCAAGATGAAAATATGAATCAAATTCACGCTTTTTTAATACTATAGGCCATAGATTAAATGCATCTGTTCGAATATAAAATTCAGGTATATAACTTCCTTTTATTGTTAAAATCGTAAATGTATTATCAACATAATATAGATTTTTAAACAAACATGATTGATTATATAATGGACCTAGACATTGAATTTTTGTTTCTAATGTTTTATTGGAATAAATTAGGCTTGAATAAGTAAAATATAAACTATATTTATTAGTTTCATTTGTTAATGATTCTGTAGATATTGTCAAATTTAAACTATTGATAATATTTGATATATATGAAGTTTGTATGTTATTATTTTTTATTTTTACCATGAAAAAGAACATAATAATGATACATACGATTGTGATATAAATAAACTTTCGACGAGTAACTAGGAAATAGTCGAATAATTTCGTTCGTATTTGATTTAACATAGTTGACGGTAATCACAGAACTAAATTAATAGTCATAGAGACTTTTCTTATCTATATAAAAAATCTGTGAAAATCAGATTTGGGTGTGGGTTAGGGACCTGCGGAGTCAACTTTTTTTGACTCCGACTTTGAAAAACTCCGAATATCTTCGAAATTCTGTTAACAAAAAAGCGACTTCTGCAAAGCTCAAAAAAGAAAAAAGATGTGTCGAATAATAATTACTTACTGACTTGAGCTACTCGCACAGCACTCGTTATTCTGCCTCTTCCACGTATATTTTGCTAATGATCTTTCTCGACCAAGTGAAGAAATGTGTAAAAGACAACTGTTTCATGAGTTTTAGATAAAATTAAATGGTGTTTATTATAAAGACTTTAAAAGAATAGCAGACAAAGTCAATACTCAAAGCTGATAAGAACTACTCATTTTCTTTCCTAGCGGCAAGAATATAATTTATCTTGAAAGAATCTCTTGTTTGCTCGTAAGCGATAACAAAAAATATCTCATATATACATTAGGATAAAATTTCTTAAATAAATCGTATAAGATTGTTTTTCAACTGAAAAATATTTTTATATTAAAAATGATTTCAATTTTTTATAAATTTAATATTTCTTTTTTTTGTTAATCATTAAGTTTAATAATTTTTCCTAAATCAATTTTTTCTAACAAGTTCCTATTTTTTTTTAATTGAATTGCATCAAAAAAGTTTTCACCATTAAAATTCTTGTGGCTAGTATTTATTTGGGCAATTTAAAAATCGAAGTGGGCAGTAATTAAAAATACGAATTAGCAATAATTCTTGAGCGATAAAATATTATTTTTCAGCAATTATATATTACAAAATGAATAATATGAATGCATGATTATTTTCCTCATTTCCGTAGAAAAATTAATTGTTTTTTTGCTTTGAAATTGCTCGATAAGATATTTCTTGACATATCTGCTCTGAAGAATCACAGGTTAAAAGTTGACAATAGGTTCAATGAATTGTTAGATGTCGGCATGGGGTGTGGGTGTGAGTAAGTATTGATTTGCTAAGCGAAAAGACTGCCACCCACATCCGCACCCTGCGTTCGTTTTAAATGCATTGTACTTAAAACGAACGATCAACAAGGAAATGTACGTAAAACGAACGTTTTCAATTTTTAATTTGCTACCACTCATTTCTCAACTATTCTAGTAGCTATGAACTTTTTTTTATGTTAGATTCAACAGAATTTTATGCTCTTTCCCATGATATATAAACAAAAAATTTATGATATAAAATGACAACGCTCTGCGAGTCGCGATGAACACCTATATAAAACGCGTTCGTTTTCGAAGCATAGGCTATACCTCATGAAAATATTCTAATGTATTGGCTCATGTGAATGCGAAGAAAACCATGTAAACTTTATGAACTATAAATAAATGTGAATAATCCAAGCAAGGTATGAAATACTTTCGTTGTTTGTTGTCTGTTTGATGACGGTGTCATATGTTGATTGATTACATAAATAAATCTATGTTGAAAGAAACCTAATTTTACGTAATATAAATAAATGGGAATAACCCAATCAAAGTATGAAATGCTTGCGTTGTTTACTGTCTATTTGACAAAGGTGTCACAGTTGATTACTTTCAATGATAAATTTATGTTGGAAGAAACCTAGTTTTACCTAATATAAATATAACTAAAAAACAGCAACAAAGACATAAACCAAACTTGCATATCTCACAACGGTATTGCATAATACGTAAGTAAGCTTGATTTTGAATTTTAAGTCGACTGTAGTGTTAAGATTTAAAGTTAGTTTCAAGTGTGCTAATATATTGGCGTCGCTCTTCAACAGTCCTCCTTTTTCCTCTCTCTGTTGTGCCGTTATATGTACATTTCTATACTTTTCCATATAAATATGTGCTTAATGTCAAATAGTTATACTCTGGATATGCAAAGTGTTAAAAGACAACATTATCAAAGGTAAAGCCAAGCTATCCTATTCACTTTGTCATTCGATTGTCTTGCTCCTTATTTTATTGTTACAACTACTTTATGATATTCTTGTTCTTCCTAATTGAATATCAGAAATTCAGGAACTTCTTATATATAGGACGTTAACGTTTCTTTTTGATTTCATGTGATTCTGAATAATGCGTTTTAGAGTGGGTGTATGTGTGAATGGATGACTGACTAACGAAATACCTCAGACCTTCTGTTTAATCGATTAAAATTCGTTCATAATTTAAAAGTGTATTAAAATACATGATTTTCAATGATTCGATCGAGGAAAATTATTTTCTGTTTTAAAATCTGCTAAAAGCTATCATGTTTTGTGGTTGAATCAATTGAAACTGATTAACAGTCAAAATGTTGATCAAATTTAATCAGAACATGCTACATTTAATCGATTTGCTCTTATTTTTAGAAAGAAAAGCGAACTAAATTAGGTTTTTGGTCATCTATTTTTATCTAGCAGTCGATCTACAGACAACTATGACGAAACATTTCGAATGCCAATTCGCTAGTTGTGGCAATCGATGCAATCAAAACCATGGTAGTGTTGGTGATTGTCATCTTCTCCGTCGCCATATTTACGTCCGTGATCGTAGTTATGGTGTTTATGATGTTCGTCGTGATCCTGCTGTTCCTGACGGTGGTTTTGGTGTTATTGATCGTGATGGTCTTATTGTTAATGATGTCATTGATGGCCATACTGGTAGTAGTAATGATCCCCGTCATCCTACTGAAGATGGTCGTGATCCTAAGTCTGTTTCTCGTGTTGCTATTGATGCTGGTCGTGATCCTAAGTCTGTTTCTCGTGTTGCTATTGATGCTGGTCTTGCTCGTTGTCAGTGCGAAGAGTGTGGTCGTCGTTTTGACCTTCGTCGTAAAGGTCTTGAAGATGGTGATGGCCTTCATCGTACTGATCGTCTATATGAATGTCGTAAATGCAGCCATCGTTTTTGTTATGGATGCTGCTTTAAATGATAAAACTTATTTGATCTCACTCTTTCCACTTTTCATCTTTTTTCTAAAAATAAAGCATTTAGGCGAACTCTGCTACTTCGAATAATTGCTCCTTTTGTGCATAAAATATGTTAATGACTGATCGACGATAGTTCCGATTGATTTTTACTCAAATATATGTATGCATCGGCAATATTCATATGGAGTCACGTTCATTTCAGAAACAAGAACAATCTTAACAAGATTGAAGCAATCAATCATAAGCTAAATATCGACAGATGCACCAAAGCTAGTATCGAGAATAATGTTATCTGAGGAATATTTCTTGATTGTAGATCAAATATTTAACGATTACTTAAAGGCGTGTATAATGTCGATTATATAGTGTGTAAGGATGGGTGAGTGAAGTACACTAAGATTGCGATTTTGTCCTTGCTTATGGGACTTACCAGTTGGCTTTGCAGAATATAAATGATTCAAAGTAATAGATGTATTTCGACAATATACAAGATTTATTAGAAAAAAAAGAGACTACAAGGGTGTGAGCATACAGATGAAAGGATTACACACACCCACACTCATGCATACTGATGTTATTATTTGTACTACTAATCTGAAAAAGATTTCATTGGAAGTACAGAAAACTTTTTATTTTCTAGATAAACTCTTCATAAAATTTCTATATTGTTTAATTTCAAATTATTTCGTGTTTTTTTTATGTTTCAATTATTGATTTTTAAGATGTATGAATTTTTTGTATGAGTTTTTTTCTTCGAATATAAATATGATTTAAATAATGATATAAAGTTTGTTTTTCATGAAACATTTTTTTTAAATTTAAAAGTTCATTAAATTTTTGAGTAAGTTTAGTTTTTATTAAAAATAATTTTGATATATTGTTATATATATCTGGTGAACTTATTTTTATTGTATGCCAATAATGAATATGATTCAAATTTGTATTTATTTTCAATGGAAGTTGATTTGAAATATATTGAGTATTCAAATATTCAGAATTCTGTTGGGATTGAAACGAAATTGATTTATGTAATTCATGATTATAAGTTCGTAAATGAATATAATATTTATGTAAAATATTAAGATCTTGTTTTGATTGCTCAGTTATTTTGACTAGAACAGAAATGAAATAAATTCTCTGATTAAGCAAATCAATCCCAAATTTATATATTTCCAATATGTTTAAATACTACAGTTACACTATCATGCAACATATCATTGTCAATTTATACCTTTATTCAGATATTGTGTAGAAAGATATTTCAGTTGTTTATATAATGGTTGTAATTGATTGTTAATAATTGCATTTTTTTGACCAAGTATTTGTATGACAAAAGTTAATTTTTCATACTGTTGTTTTAATTGTTGATTTTCTTTATTCGTATAATCAAATATTTCTTTTAAATTCTGATAATTATATTCTGAATGTGTTAAATTATTAGTCAATTTGTTTATATTAGCTATTGATTGTTCTTGTTTATTATAATAATTTTGTAACAATAAATTTTCTTGTGTAAGAATATAGTCATATTGTTTTGTATCTACATTTAATTTTGAAATCATTGTTTTATATTGAATAATTTTCGTTTCATTTTGTTTTAAATTTGATTCTAATCGATTTTGATAAATTTCATTTTGTACAAGTTGTTTTTGATAATGTACAATATCTTTTATCAATGGTTTTTCATCAGTAGACAGTCGATGTATTTTTTGTGTGAGTATTTTAACTTTAGTTTTACTTTCATTGACTTTAGTTTGTTGATTCATCAATTCTTCTTGTGTTGTTGATAAACAATCTTCGAGATTGACTAATTCTTTTGTATATAAATCAATTTGATTTTCTTTCGAATTTATGACATGATTTTGTTGTTTTATTTGTTTTGTTAATTGATTCGTTTCATCTTTTATGATTTGTAATCGTTGTTCGTTTGTTTCAACTATAGAAATAAATGCGTATATTTTATTGATAAAGTATGATAAATTATAGAGTTTGTGTTAGATTTATATCTGCACAGCATTACAAAAGAAAAGTATTTCTATAAACATTAATTAGAATCGGTTCCAGTAAATTTGAAAAATTCAAATAAGTTTCTTTTGACACTTTTACCTAATCTAAAAAGGTCTCCAGTAGAGCCCATCAGATCCACACTTTTTTAGACCCAGACCCAGACCCGAAGCCAGGTCCGGATCCAAGTCGGACCCGATCCTGATGAGCACTAGCCTGAACTCGAATGTACTTTTAGATTCTCAGTACATTTTTCTACTTGAAATCTGATAGTTCCTTCGAAAATTATTTTGTTGTTGTTTTTTCTATTATTTTATAAATAATTTCAAGACTTTTTGAATAAAAAATTAAAGAAATTCAAAAAAAATATTATGTTGGTAACATATTTCTTTCGATCCGGGTCCGATCAGTAAAAGCTTCGATTCCCGGACTCGATGAGCTCTAGTCCCCAGTAATCTTTGTTTAGTATTTTAGAATGCGATTTTCTCCTCTTCAATCTGTTATCGATAGAAAAATATTTGATTTAGTAGTCGGCAGTATTTTCCATTATTTATGATTCAAACGATATGAATGATCATGTATATTCACGCAGAACATTTCTATTTCTATAAAAATCTTTAAACCTTGAATAAATACAATTGAGAATAGTATTAACTTGTTTTATTCAAATTATTGGTTATATTTTGTTGTTTATTATGATCTTTAATTAATTGTCGATAAGAATATTGTGTAGTTTTTATTGTATGATTTGAATGAAAAATTTCTTTTTCTAATAAATTATTTTTAATAGTTGTTTGTTTAATTTTATTTAATAATTGTTGTTGAATAAGTAATATATCATCTTTTTCTTTTTCAAATCTATGAATACATTGATAAAGTTGTTGACGATTTTGATTGATTTGTATTTGTTGTCGTTGAAATTGTTTAATATGTTGATTTTGTTGATGAATTTGTTTTTGTAAAGTTAATATTTGATTTTCATAATTAGTACGATTAATAATTATTAATGTTAAATCTTGTTTATATTTTTCTAATTTAGTTTGATAAATTAATATTGTTTTATGATGAATTTCAATTTGTGTTTGAGTATGAAAGATTAATTTTAATAAATAATCAATTTGATTAACAATCGACTTATAATCAATAAGTAATGTTTGAATATCTTTAGTATTTAAAAACAATTGATTTAATTTTTTATTTGATTGTTCTTGTAAACGATCATTAGTTTGTTGTTGATTTTTTATTTTTAGTTTCATTTCAGTTGTATTTTGTATTATTTGTAAAATTTTTGTACGAAATTGTTCAAGTGACAATTGAATTTCATTCATTTTGATTAATAAATCACCATGTTCTTTTTCTAATAATGATAAAGTTGTTGTTTGTTCATTTTTTTCAATTTGAACAATATTAAGAAGTTTTTGTAAATCTTCATAAACTATTTCTTGAGTTATTGTTGTACCAGTTGCTGTTTCAAAGATATGCCATAGACGAGAGGTATTTACTCGAAGAAGCTTGAAATATAAGAATATTAAGCAGTAAAGGATGATAACATATGACTATCATGCATTATTTTATAGACTTTGCCAAACAGTGGCGGATCTAGGATTTTGGTTAAAAGCTATTTTTTGAGTACAATCGAAGTAGTGTGAACCTATTTTATTCGTTCTTTTTGCTGTAACAAATGGGAAGGGCGATCACCCCCCTAAATCCGTCACTGTTGCCAATTATTTCGAATGACTAAAGAAATCTCTCTAGTTCACCGAGGTGTCAATTATTTCGGCTACTCTCTGCATGGATACTGCTTCGTCGCTCAACTTTGATATTTAAACTGATGTTTCAATAATATTCACCTGAACAAGATGCCATGTATTTATTTCTTTTATTTTAACATTTGTTAGTATCTGAGTTAAATCTTGAAATTTAGTTTTGAATATTTTCAATGTTTTCTCATCAATAGCTCTAAGTTCATCAGCATAATTAATTTTAGTATAATTTATATTTAAATCTTGTTTTAAACGTTGAATTTCTTTTATAAGAAATTCTTGAGAAGATTTCAATTGTTCACCTGAATAATTCCAAGAAAAAAAATGATTTTCTTATTATGAATTAATAAACAAACCAATCTGTTCAGTCTCATTGACAAACTGATGAATATCGTTATGTTCTAAATCTTGAATAGTTACACGTAATTCATTTATTTGATTAGAGAATTCTTCCATTTTAGAATATATACTATATTATGAAAACCTAATAGGCGCTAAATAAAAATGTTTATTCTTCAGTGTCATTAATAATCAATACCAAAAAATTTATAAACATGAGATAATGTCCAAAGAGGACCAATTAAAAGAAATTGTAGATCTTTAAAAAATGCAGGTTTTTTTCCTTCAATTTCATGTCCAATAAATTGCCCAATCCAAGCAAGAATAAAAATAATCAATGCTAAACGAAATATTCGTACATGATTTTTCTCCATTATAATTAATGATATTATGACTAGAAGAAAAAGAATTGTCATTCCAATTGCCATTGAAGATGAAAGATTCCAATAGAAAGCCAATACAGGTACAAATATCAATGAAGGATTGATAAGACCACTTTTGCCAATTGAGACTGTATTACGAATATGTTTCGGTATGATTGGTAAACGCCAAAGCATAGCAATAATTGTCAATGTTATTGCTGGTACACATATTTTATGTATGATAATATTAGTTGGATTTTGATGAGATAATGCATATTCATCAAGCCAAGCAGTTAATTCTTTTCCAGGCATCTAAAATAAATGTAAAGAAAAAGGAAAAGATTTATTTATTTATTTATTTATTTTTCAATCAAAAGTATTCTGTAATTCTTTGTATTTCTTGTATCAATTTATAAACATAATAAAATAATAATAATAATAATGAAAGAATCAATCTAAGTATATCTGACAAATAGAATAAAATCAAAAACTGTTCATAGATTATTAATGACGATGTCGTCCACGTTTTGCTTTTTGTGTACGCCTAAAATATAAATATTTTGTATATTGAAAATACTGAATAGATATGTTAGGTTAAATAAAATGATCATAACTTACATAGGTTTATTTGCATTAAGATGCTGTTGTGGATCATATTTAAGAACTAAATCTCTTGCTTCAGGATGTCGTTCAATATAAGCTTGTTTAGCTTCTTCATATGCTGAATTCATTTCTTCTTGATGTAGTTGTACTACATCAAGAGTTGCTCCACATTTGTTATTATTGTTAAAATGTTCATAGCCTGTAATCGGTTGACGACAAATATAGCACATTGATGCACCACAAGCACAGGTCATTTTATTACAACCTAGTTATTTTATAGAAGAGAGAAAAAAAATTATGTTTTCAAAGATTATTATATTCTCTTATACCTTCAAGTTTATAAAATCGTTGTTTACATTTATAACAAACACGAATCATAGCTTCTGAAACACGATTTTCGATGAATGTTCGCATATCTAATTCATCTTTTTTTTCAACTTCATCACATCGTAATGGAATATGATTTGGTTCACCACAAGTTCGACATGTTTCTTTTAAACATTCTTGATTTAAACATCGAAATATACGTACATTTGGATCATCAATAACTATAAGATAATGAAAATATATTCTATTTTTAACTGCGCAATATCCTATCCTCTAAGGTAAAATAAAATATAGGATAGTATGAAGTCACGAGTTATGCGAAAAAACGAAAGGAAAAAAACAATATATTGCGTCATTTTATTAAAAATATTGTAACTAATGAGGATTCTTTTCGAATATTTTGAGATTAGTAAGAAAAGACATTCATTTATTTTCATACTTGTTCCGAATGTACAAAATTTGCATTGTTCAAAATTTGGAATATTTGCTCGACGTAATTCTTCTAGTTGAACTTTAGTAAGAAGTCGAGAAAAAAGTGTTGGTGCAAGTAAATGACCCATTAATGATGTTGAATATTCATATTTACATGAAGGATTTAAACATGTAAAAAAACATTCACCATTAGATAGAAAACCATTTTCAATATAGCTTCTTATACATGTTCTAAAGAAAATTTATTCTAAAGAAAATTTTTTAAATAAATAATTCTAACCTACAGACAAAATCGATGATTATTATCACAATTAATCATATCATTATTAAGTAATTGATCATCACAACAGCAATCACATGTTTGAAGTGTATGATTTTCTGTTGCAATACGAATTTGTTCATCACGAAATTCTTTTTTTCGTTTTAAATATTCTGTAATTAAAAAAACAAAGTAATAATTCATAGAAAAATTGAAATATTTAATATAAATTTATAAAATGAATACAAAAGAAAAACAAAAAAAAGTCTAAATCTATGTATGTCTTCTTTTCTTCTCCTTAATCTATTTGAAGATCTCTTATATAATAAATAACATCTTCCTCTTTTTCTCTCGTATAAAACATATTTCTTGATTTTGTTTTTAAAATTGGATGTTCTTGACAAATTCGTACAAAACTATTCAATACATGTGTCGGAGGTTGACGTGTACGTGTCATTAAATTCATTCCAGCACTTGAGAAAAGTGTTGAACCAACCATTGTTGCTACCCATTGATACGGTTCATCGTCCGGTGTTTCATCATCAGCAAAAACAAAACTAAATTCATTTGTATATAATTTTATTATACCATTTTTTCGCCATTGAAAACGACTTAATTTCGATGATATTTGTGTATCAACACCAAT